TTATATTTAAATTTCAGGGCACACGAGAAACATAAGTATTCCAGATTGCGTCGAGTTTAAAATAACAACAAACGCATGCCGTGGCTTCTGCGAGTCTTGGTCGTTGCCGAGTATCATGCTGGGGTTCAAGAGGCATCCTGTTACATCCCTGGGACAGTGCTGCAATATAATGGAGTCTGAAGACGTAAGATCCAATTCTACGTGCTCCGCAGGAGCATAGTAATGCAAATGCATACATTTAATAAAAATTAAATGTTTAATTTCAGGTTCCAGTAAAAGTTCTATGCTTAGATGGTGAAAGAAATTTAATATTTAAATCGGCAATTTCCTGCGCCTGCTACCATTGTCAAAAGGAATAATTTGCAATTTCTTCGAACCATGCCTATCAAAATTTAAATCTTCCTGTAAAATGCATTGTTTTACTATCCCCTAAAATCTTATCTTCCTAAAGTATTATATTATGAATAAGTCATAAGGTTGAAAGTGTAACTTACAATATGTTCATTTACAATAATGTCAAAATGTATTATAAAATTACAAGAAATAAAAAATAAAGACACATAAGCCAAGTTTTAATTTTTTGCTTTATTTTACTTTGTGGTACGTTTAAAACCAACAGCTTATTAATATGAATTATCAGCTTCTCTCCAATAAAAATATACTCCTAACAAGTCGTGCACAAAACGAGAAAAATGGAACATACAAATTAGGTAGTAAGTAGCAAAGCAGAATATACATTTATTTAGGAAACTGCATTGCGCCTGAATATTTCGGACAGAACCAAACTACGTCTATCTGTCTGCCACGTTGTTGTACAAGTTGATTCATAATTTAAGTAATATTATCTTCTATAAGAATATTAAAAATATAAAATAGAAATCGTGGTATGCCATGTTTTACAAGCATCCTAAACTAATTGGTATCCGAAACTGTAGATACCTAATAATAATATGTAAATGTGAAACTACATAACCAGACGCTTTTTTCGCTTTTTTGGGTACAAGTGCAAAAACCAGACAGATTGGCAATACTATGGTACATCTTTAATAGGCGATAATAGAAACGCTGGAAAAGGTGCACGTAAACGTAATTGACCCGACTGCATGTGCATTATGACCGTTGTAGTGCTTTTTTGGATATACCCCAAAAATTTAAATTCTATGTACAGATAGTGGCTGTTAGCCAGCCGTAGAAAAAATTAGAAACCCAGTCATTCCATGACCGGATATGAGCAAGTATAACCATGGTATTGTTATCGGTAGTGTAAGGTGGGAGGGGCTAAAAATCTAGAAAGAAAAGGAAGGGAGAGAGGAGAGACATTTTGACAAATTGATTTAAACACCAAAACCTATTTTCAATCTATCTTCGCGAAATTACACAGAGGGACATAGGGTGAAGGGCAAGGAGATTGTTGGAATAGATTGAATTTTGAAATTGATTTCAGGTCAAACACATATAAACCTAACCTGACCAAGATGCAAAAAACAAAAACCCTGTCATGAGTGCAACCCAATCTCCATTGGGCAACACTTTATGACTAGATTTATATCAATACGTCAAACTGCGTCAAATAAACACGAACTAATGGAATTTAAAAATAAGATCCAGTATTTTCGACATATCCTACGCTAATTGCCTATACTTTTTTATTTTCACGGCTATGAATGCTTTTTAAATATATTAACATATGTAATGAGTTACAACATAACACCGCGATTACGGTGACAATAATTTGATAGCAAATAGTGCTGAGGAGTTCTAGGCGGCCTATAAAATATTTTTTTCACAAATACAAAAACTTAAATATCTAAGTAGTTTTGAGTGTTTTTAGATGCAAACACTGTTAAAGTTTACGTGTTCTGTCATATAATGTCAATGCCACTGTCAATTTGACGTTCATCTACCAAAATTTTTATCATCATGTTCATGTGTATCGTCGCTTTACGAATAGACCAAAAGTTCAGATGATAATGAAAATTTCAAAGGATATGTTATATTTATCCATTATTGCTTTATCCTAGTTATTGTTAGGAAGAAAGATGTTATGGAGGACAAGTCCCTCCGATCTAAAACGACGCCTACATGGCAAAACTGCGTCCACTGTCCGAGCTTGCTATTTAGCAGTGCTTTGGAATTTGAAAGGTTTCTATCGTATCTACTTGCTTACACCTTATTCTTTTTCTGTGCAATATAAGTTTTTTAATAATATTCATTTTACAGACATATTCAGGACAAGCATAGTATAAGGGAAGGATCCATTATACTATGTCAGTATGGACAAAACGGTATATGCTCCGCTCTGCAGTTTGGTGACTTACGAAAAGCAGGTTTTAAATACCATGTAAGGGAATACCACCTGTACGCCAAAGGCGGTTCAGAAGATTGGACATTTTATTCATCATCACAAAATCTTCCAGCTGTGTTAAATGATCCTAATAAGGGTAAACAAAGTAATTTTTTTACTAAAACATGGGGTGACAGTTTTGTTGAAAAAATTGAAATTCAGCCAAGCCCTTATTTACCAGATATAGGTTTATCACATTTTGAGTCATATTGTAAAAAAATATCAAGAAGATATCGCAGACACTGTCAATTAAAAGAAGCCCCACCTGTCAAAAGCAAGCTCAAATTTGCCGTGGCTGAGGAAAATATCTGTGAAGTACCTAGCATATTTTTTTCCCCAACATTATCATTGAATAATCCCCAAATATTTAGTCAAGTTTTTCCAGGTCTCTCAAATTCGTCAGACTCCAGTTCTGCTATTAGATCCCTACAAGAAACATTGAGTACTTACTTGGATGTTATTGAGATGAAAATATCTAAACAAGTTGCCCAAAAGTCTGATGCATTTTTTCATGCAATGCTTTCACATGATACTATAATGGAACAAATGGCTAAAGCAGTAAAAACAGTACAGAATACAAGGCGCAATATAACAACAGTCAAACAGAACTTAACACAATGTCCTCTGCAACTGATAAGCCTTACAAGAATCAATAATAACCTTAATAATGTGTATGAATTATTAAAACTAATAGGAACAGTACAGCAAACACAACCTATGATACAGTTATTGCTTAGTACATCAGACTATGTAGCAGCTTTAGATTTAATAAGTTCTACACAAAAAGTCTTATTAACTCGGCTTTCAGGCATACAAGCTTTTCGTCACCTTTCACCACAACTGACTGAAATGAGAAGGTTGATACATAAAATGTTGAGTAATGAATTTCTTAGATTTATTGTGACTGACTTAAATAGACCACTAATAGATCTTACTGATTTACCAGATAGGGACAAAATAGTTTCTATAGTATCTGGTATACTTCGGCTAAAGGAATTTGATTTCCTTGATATTTTCAAAGCTGAAGCTATGACATCAATTCAAGCAACGATAAAACAATGTGTCATTGAAATAATCTCTGAGAGGGATGGAAATAGTGAAATTGTACTGAGAGGCTCTCAGTCCGATAACACTTGGCTCATGTGTAATGAAGGTATTGTTTTTCTACAAAAAGTGACGCCACATTTGGTAATCATCTTTAAAAGAATTTTGTCTTTGAGCAGTTTAATTTTAGACATTAGTCAAATGGATGATGTAACTGGAAATGAGAGTGAAGAAATGTGGACACAAGAGGAGATAGCATCTATAAGTGATAAGATTAAGAAGATGATAGGTTCTCTTTCAGATTACTGCAATGAAAGATGTGCCAATCTTATAGTGACCAAGACTGATAAGGATTACATATTTTCAGATCTTACACAGTTGGCTAAACTGACAGAGTTAATAGATGCTTTTTCAAATGAATGCGAAAAAATAACGGGACATTATAGCAACACAATGAAGTTGGCTTTAAGAAGTTTTGCTATGAAATATATACAGAGTTTGCATACAGAACGCAGGGCTCAGCTCACCAATACACTAAACGCTGAGAGATGGAAAATGGCTGATGTTCCTTATGAATTGCAAAGTGTTATTCATAAAATTTGTGAATTTGGTAAAATACCACATACACTTCAGTATGAAAGTGGAAGACCGGATGGAAAGTACTTAGTTATCAATAAAGAAAACTATGCCGTTGTGGCTACAGTTCAACTCTTAATTAAGATTCTTTTAGAATATTGTGATGCAACCAAGCAGTCTCCAGATATAGTACAATACTTAGTGCATTGTATGTTAGAACTTATAAGATTATTTAATTCCCGTTGTTGTCTGCTGGTTTTGGGTGCTGGAGCAATACAAAGTGCAGGTCTAAAAACAATTTCCACATCGAACCTGGCACTTGTTTCTAGGTCATTGCAAGTTGTCTTATGGCTTTTGCCTCTTATATTAGATTTGCTGGAAAAGTTACATTCCAAGGAATTAACACTAAATGGTTTCACCAGTATAGAAAATGATCTAGTTAGCCATAAACAAGAAATAGAGAATAAAATTTGTATTATAGTTAGTACAATGCTAAGTTCTCAGCTGTCTAGCTGGGATGCAAAACCTCCAGTTCCTTCTCAGACATTCCGGAATATATCAAAGCACCTTGTCAAATTACATGAAGCACTTATTGATATCCTGCCTATAGAACAAATAAGGTCTATTTATATGAAAGTACATGATAACTTCAAAGACAAGTTAAGAGAACAATTAGTTAAAATGAACATAGTAGCCAATGGTAGCCCTCAGCATGGAGTGGTCACCTCCGAGTTAACTTTTTATCTTCAAACTCTGAAAACCCTTAGGATAATAAATGAAAATGATACTGAAGATAACATACTGTACGATATCTGGTTAAATTAAATTACATGTACATAGTGGATTAAAGAATGTTTCATATGTGTAAAAATATAGCATGAAGTCATCATAAAGTATTTTACTAGTAAATAAAGAAGTTTAACTTCTAGTCATGTCAGAATAACTACTTTTTTGTACTGCCTTTTTATATTTTCACAATGTGGGGTTGGTGGCAACGTTTATTTTTAATACATTTACTTTTTTTAATATTTATATGCAAAACAATAGCAAATTCGAATTTCAATATCTTTTTAACTTACAAAACCAAAGTGTATTTTATACTTGATTTTATCATTAATGCTTTTATTTCCAAAATAATAAAACATTTATAATGAAAAAAATCTGCTAAATGTCATTAAATGAAAGATGTAATTAAGGTCATTATGGTTGGCATTGGGTATTTCATTTGTAATGTAAGAAGAACCAAAGTTGCATTTTAATGCTGCAGTTTAATGTATTTTTACCCACCTGTTTTTCTTTAATCTCAGTATTAGTATTATCATTCTGATGAGAAATATTGAAACGGGGATTTTTTTATGGCAGTGGTGATTTACAATACATTCCATTGTGTATCATTTTCAGTTGTAATATTTTATTACTGCATTTAGTTTGGTGCTTAGAATCTCTACTTTAATCGGTGAAAATATTGACGGACACATAATATATTCTCGCCCAATTGCATGCAATCAAAAAGAGTTTTAGTTTGAGTGATTGTATTATATTGGCTTTGTTGATCACCTCGGTGTTCTCGCCGCTACTTTGCACCTTTCGCTTATAAAAAGGGGCTATGCAAATTCGAAATGTCTTGCAATATAATAAAAAAACAAAAACTTTGGATGAAGTGCCAACGAATACGTACAGGCATATTTTGTAAATTGTTAACAAGTGAAGCTCCCTTAGCTAACATGAAACATTACCTCAAGATCATGTTTAGAGGACATTATTATCTCTTTCTACTTAGTTGGAATAGATAAGTTTTACCTAAAATATTAATTTATACATTGTATTGGTCAGCCAATACTTATGGTATCTCTTATTCGCTAGAGGTATAAAAAAGTCTATGCAATTTGTAACGACTCTAAGAAAAAAAAAACTCGTAAAGTTGTTGCGCTTCAAAATTCATACTTATTGTCACATAGAACTTATAAACTCCTCACTAATAAGGTAAATAAAATGGATAAATGATGCGATAACATAATGAACGTAAATGTAGTATAAATATTATTTTTACTATATAATGGTGCTTTTAAATTTGTGTCATCTTTGTATTTCGCTAAAAATGTTGAGATAAAATATCTACTTTAGTAAACATCGCATTAGCTTTTAAATACATGCTGATATTGTAAATTGTCCGATAATATAATACAACTGTGTGATATAATTTAAAATAAACAATTTGTTTTATAGACTTAAGGTTAAATTATGTTTGATATTCGATATGTAATGTTCGTGAATTCATCATTAAATAAGTAAAAGTTGATTTTACCATTATTTTAATTTAAATCTTGCGTACGTGCTTGTATATACTAAAAAGGCGTAAATTAGGTGATCTAACTTTTCACGTCCCGCTCATGCCGTTTCGCTTCGCTTCCGATCCCCTTTCGCTTTTGTGTTACGGGCCTTAGGTTGAATAAGATTGTTTCGTGTGCACCACAAATAAATGGTAATTGGTATGTGTACATTTTTATTGATAAAATAATATGTAAATTTACACTGTCTTACTTATAATTAAATATAGTTTTCTGGCAATATCTTAACATAGAAATATACTTCAGTAACACTTGTACATATTGCGATCCCTTTCATTTTCTTTGGCAAAACAAAGACAACAATATGTATTAATACAAGTGTCACTGTAGTGGAACCACATAGTTACATTTTAATAACAGAACATTTTGCAAAAAGGCAACATTTACATTCCTATTTCTTAAAATATTATAAACAAACATCCAAGTTCACTTTTTTCCATGTTATCTTTTTAAGGAAATTCCCCCTCGGAATAGGAAAGGCACTCCGCATCTTATAAAACGCAACACTTTCAATTCATGGCAGAACTTAATTCACATTGATAGCCAAGTGTGTATACCCACTGTTAATACAAACAATTTTTAATTAAATGTACATTCAACGCAAAATAGCTATTAAAATTTAACTGAGCTGTTGGATATACCTTAAACTACAGACTTACAAAAAATTAATGATAAATATTCACTCTGTGATTTACAATTTTCCAAATATTTTAATAAATAAAGATCACTAAAACAGCTTACAAATTTACTAAACTCAACATATACACACAAACTATATAAGTTTATCATTAAAAATGTACAAATAAGAAAAAACAATAGATGAACTAATCAATAATCATAGTCTATGGGATTAAGTAAAATAAAGTTTTTTAAAAGATCATAACTTTGTGTCGTAAAAATATGACGCCATTGGATATCTTATTAGAAATGCTACACATGTGCACACTGTTTGAAACATCAATAAGCTAACAGTCAACCTTAGTTCTGACATTGGGCCTAATTTTATAAGAAACAAATTTATTAATGTCAAATTATTTATTGTTATACTTACTTCATCTTCAACCTTATCAATTAAATGAAAAAAACTAAACACATTTATTATTAGTTTACTTATAGCATTTAAATCTTTCTTATCGATCAAAGTTCTACTTGCTTGCAGCAGATCAGTTTCCCCACTGTATTTAGGTAATCTATGCCTTGGACATGGAATGATATGAAATAACTGAGGAACTGAATATACAAAATTAATAATTTGTGGCAGGAAGAACAACAGAACCGTTTTACTAAAGTGGCTAAGAATACCTACTACAGCAAACGTCATTCCTGATACATAGCAGAAAGTATCTCCAACAAACACTTTTGAAGGATACCTGGAAAAATATTAAATTATTGCATTTCATATTGTGAACTTCACACTGGCTTTGCTAATATGAGAGTTCATTCTACAATGACTCCTTGTCAGTAAGGCAGAAGTTAAAAATGTAGTTGCATATATTTCTATAACAAATAAAATTGAACCTTACCAATTATGCTTTAGTAATGCCATTGTTGTTGCTAAATACGGTATCATAATGTGTAATGAGAAGCTGTGAGCTTTATATTGATCTCCTTGCAGTTCTATTAAATTAAAAACTATGATGGACATAGCTATTACCACTGACTGGCCCACTTCCAGACCGTTAACCCCAGCAAGTATGTTGATAGCATTTGTACAAAACACTGCCAACATTCCCATATACACATAGTAGAGGAAACCTGAAAAAGATAAGACAGTGAAAAAATATAATTGTACAATAGCACATGCTTTACAGGAACCCTTATACACTTAAGAAAACTTACCAATATTTACAGATAGTCCAAAGAATTGTCTCAATGGTATTGGCACAACAAAAGTTGTGGAATTAAAATTAACATAATAGACAACAAGAAGAGGCAATGATGCTACTGTTGGCAGGATCAGTTTGTATCTCCATCTTAAATCCAAGACGTCATCAGCAAATCCCAAGAGAAGCATACAACATATAGAGAGTAGTGCTGCTAACATTTCTGCAAACTGGAAATAAATAACAACATTTTGAATTGATTTCGAAATGATGATGAAGATAGCCGAAAAGTTTACTCCAAAGAATTTAAAAATCTAATTAAATAAGTTATGTGAATGACAAATTATAAAATAAATTAAATAGGAAATTCATCTTCAAACACTTCATCTAGAGGTATATATCTATTAAAACAGTATTAAAAATTAATAGATATCATTACTTACTTCATTATGAGGAAAATGCTCTCTGTCCATAAGGCTATGTCCAAACACAATCGGTATGAATAGGAAACTTGTAACCAAAAAAACACATCCTGATACAACACCAACCGCTTCTGGGCTGAAATCAAGGTATTATTTTATGAAAAAAAGAAATAACTTTTATAGTTTATTTGTAGAAAAAAAAAGTTTGTTAAATACATACACTTTATCCTTACTATTTTTACACAAGTCAATTCCAAAAATGCCTGCTTTAATAAATAATTCTTTTAGTTTTGGTATAAGTTCATCAGTAAAAAGATATGACAATATTGATAACACAATCAAAATAATAAGTGAAAACATTTTCAGAATATAATATGAGGTATTTTAATATTGTACAACCCTTATTTCACATATATCATATTTATTTATTCGTAATATATGTGACAAAAATAGAATAATTATGAATAATACAAAACCAAAACAATGTCAAGACGACAAAAATATAGTCACCAAGGATGTTATGGAATTCGGCTAATGTGTGATTGAACAATGTCATCTTGACAGCGTCATCTTTTGACCAATAAGAGAGCGGCAGCTGTACGGATTAATGTTGCCATTATCATAATTTCGAATTCCATGTTGAACATCACGAATGCTGTTTTGAAAATGTAAAAGTAAGGAATTACTTCAAGAACTCTTACGTTGCTAATCAAAAGTTTGGAGTTACAACATGGGAGACTTTCGAAATAAATTATGAAATTATTGCTCAATGGTATTCCTCGTTAAACTTGTGGTCAAAGAGTATAATAAGTATACTATAGTAGCTTGTGGTCACCCATCGCCCGATTGTTGCCCGACTGTCAACGTCAAAAACTGCTGACAGTTGTTTTAGTTAATTCTTCATAATATATGTGTTATCAAAAGATAAATAAATAGTCAAAAATCTATAATAAAATACGTAAATTTGCTAATTTATAAAGAAAATTAGAAAGTTTCATCTTTATTAATTAGTCTCGGAATTATATTAGGCGTCGTAAAGAGGATCTTTCACACAAAAGTAACATTTTGCGATACACCCCTTTTTCCTGATAAATTAAGCTAAATCTAAGCTACATCTTTTCATATTAAACAATATGAGTACGTTGGATGAAATTGAAGAGGAAGCGAAAGCAGCTGCAGAGAAAATGGTTATGAATATGATGCAAAGACCCGGCCAACTAGAAAAAGTTTGTATATTTATTAACTTGTGAGATTTATATTTTTAAATCCACTTATAGTTAATTACCGAAAGCTTGTAATACTAAATGTTATTATACCAAGTTATATTTCCTTTTACCTAGGTAGAGCAATACAAAAAAAGAATAACTCATAAGAAAGCATCAATAGAAGCTCAACTCAAATCAGCAGTTCAAGGCAAACTGGATGGCGTGAGTGTAGGCCTCAAGCAGCTACAGGAATGTCTTGATGATGTCCAACAGATTAGTTCAAAGTATGCAATCTTTATTTGCTTATTATTATTAACATGTCAGCTGCCAGAATGATTTTTCGAAAAACAAAAAAAAAAAAAAATTTTGTCCAACACCATTTGAATGGGGCCTTGCGGGCCACGCTGTATACATCAATTTGATTAGAAAGCGTCCGACACGCCACAGCGAGGTGTGGAATGAAAGTATGACTTATTGGACACATAGTCTGTGGTTGAAACATTAGCTTGTCGGACATATAGTCCGATATGGCAGCAAACATGTTAAGTTTATTTTAAATTATGCTTAATTTTCAAACATTATAATAAATTTAAGTCCGTGTAGAAAAGTTTTTTCTAAACTATTTTAGTAAATAAATTGTATAATTTTCAGAATGGATGAACTTGAAGAACTTTTTAAAAGTGTTCCACCACTTGTAGCATCACTGCAAGCAGTTAGAGAAGAGGATTCTCGCCATTCTCAATATGTGACTGCTATGGATAGTCTAAAACATATATTCACTGTCCCTGAAAGTGTGGCAAAGACAAAACAGTGGATTGGTGAAGGGAAGTTACTACATGCTCATCAGGTAACTTGATTATTGTAACAATTGGCTAAGCATATCTTGCATACATAAATAAAAATTCATAATTATGAATCTTGAAAGCAAAAATGTAATAAATAATGAATTTTTACCATTTAATTCATATTCCAGTGCCTTACTGACTTAGAAAACTCAAGAGATGATTTATTATATGAATTACATAGACTACCAAACCAATCTTCACATGACAAAATAATGTTGAAAGCTTATTTTGAAGATGTTGAAATGGTATCAAATCTACTAGAGAAACAAATTAAATTGATTTTAGCACGAACTTTGAACACAGTGCGTAAGGAACCTACAGTTATTGTAACAGCATTGAGAATTATAGAGAGAGAAGAGAAAAAAGACCAAATGGCTTTACAGGTGTTTATGATTTTTAACTAAAATTTGTTACAAATTTTGATTGATAGAAGGCTAAGTGTTTTATGACACTGTTATGTCTATAACAAAATCTGAAATAATCTAGTTTAATTTATTTTACTGTCTCTTGTAGCAACAAACACAATCTGGTTTCATGCCTCCTGGCAGACCTAAAAACTGGAGATCGAAAGCTTTTGAAGTTCTAGAATGTGCAGTTGCTCAACGAATAGAAGGAACACGCGTAGATGAAAGAGAAGACAATAAATTGTGGCTGATAAGATACTTGGAACTTACTCGTCAGTTAATTTTGGAGGATTTAAGGGTTGTTAAAACTCTTTGTGTTCCCTGCTTCCCTCCGCACTATGATATTGTCAATAAATATGTTGATATGTACCATACATGTTTGTCTTCAAGTGTGAGTACTGAAAATATTTATTATTTTATGTATTTATGGTGATTTCCTGTTTTTGCTCAAGAAAGTAAGGTTCTCGATTACTCCTACATCTTTATATATATAATTCTTCTGTGAGTGTGTATGTCACTGAACTTCTCTTAAACGACTGGACCGATTTTAATGACATTTTTTGTGTGTGTTCAAGGGGATCTGGGAATGGTTTAGATTCACAATGTTCATCAAATATTAACTTCATATTAATTTATTCAAATTAAAGACGTGTAGACAGGACAACATCTGTCGGGTCCGCTAGTAATATATAAATATTATATGTACATATTTGCACCCAAAAAATCTTGTTATAAGCAAGAACTAAGGAGACATTATAAGTTTTCAAATACTAGTTTCTTTATATATTACTAACTTTAAATATTATAAGCCACAAAAATTAATAAACAAAGAGGTTATCTTTCTAAATATTATTGTTCTGGGTGGGCATACCTTATCAATGGATGACTGTGATTTGTGCCTTATCAATTCATAGTGTTAAAAAAAACTCATATTACAATATAAAGGACCACATTACATTTATAGATATAAATAGTACTACCACCTATCAAGTTCTTATCCTAGGACAAGATTTATGTTATTTTAATGTTGGTACATTACCTTCTATTTTTTTTTGTAATGTTTTAAGCACTTAGTTCTCAGTGGATTTTGATATGATTATAGGTACAATTTTCTGATGTTGTTGATATATCTGTTCTATAAAATTGTAGCTTCAAGATCTGGTTCAGAATGGTTTGGAAGGCAATGAATATGTAACACTATTGTCATGGATTCTGAACACTTATCCAGGACATGAGCTTATGGGCAGCGAGGAATTGAAGATCGATGTATCCACCTTACCACCATTGCTGAGTGAAGAAAGTATGCAGAAACTGCAAGAGGAATATTTACATGTAATATGTCTTTGATACTTTTTTTATTGTAGAAAATGATAAACAAGCAAGCGGCCATTATTTCGCTCAAATAGCGAAGTGATCGCGCTAACAATTATCGGCAAGATGTTTAAAGATGCAGAATTGGTGACTACATTTCGTAGATAGAATGGATATTTAACATTTTGCATTGTTTGTATAGAAAATGGAGTGTAACTACATGGAGTGGATGGAGAAGACATTGGAATCGGAGCGCGCAGAGTGGGGCGGCGAGCGCGCGCCTGACGCAGAACCGCACACCGCCGCCTTTCACACGCACGCGCCCGTCATTATATTCCAGATGATTGACCAGAACCTGCAGGTAAACAGACCAGCCACAGACACGTCAGACAAAACTGCTTGAAGTTGTAGGGAATATGGGTATTAATTGCTTTTTCCAAGAATTCAGCTTTTTTACTTATTTATTACGAGTTACGTGTTTCTCTTTTAGGTCACGGAAACTATAAGTAAAGAGATAACGTTCAAAGCGTTATTGTTGAGTATTGACCAAGTGACCCGCTACGGCAACATGTATCGAGAGGGAGTCATACAGTTTAAGGTAAATATAACTCGTCCGTCGGCGCCATTAATTTTGGCTAGTTTTAATTGAATGTTGTAAACTTTAGAACAGTCACTTCGCGGACCGGTCGCGTGTGGCGTACTTCACGCATCACATGATCACAATAGTGAACAACAGCGAGCAGCTGGCGCGCCTGGCGCAGCAGACGCAGGCGCGCCACTGGCCGCCCGCCCGACACGACCCACCCGCTGAGGCCAAGTTCGACGCCATGCTCGCAACCTTCCAGGTAACACGCCTAACTAACCACCGCCCCTTCCCCTTCCCCCTCTCTTACAACAAAACTGTTTTAGTTATTTGGTTATTGTCGTTAAGTAAGCGATAGCTTAGTTGAAATATTTTACTATTTTCTATAGGTCAAAATTATCATACAAACACTATGTCAATCAAATAGATTTTATAAAAGAGAATAAGTGAACTTTTTTACCTTATTTTGAAATGTAAAAATTGTTGCACATGTCCTGTATTCCTTTTGTTCAGAAATTGCGAGATGAGGCGGCGCAATTCCTTTTGGAGGAAGCGTTCTTAGATTTGGAAGTGCACTTTGATGATCTGTTTACCCCAAAATGGCTGACTTCGAGTATACCGGTGGACACTATATGTGTAACCCTCGAAGACTACTTCCAAGATTACAACCATCTTCGAGAGAAGAACTTCGAATATGTTATTAATGAAGCTCAGAACTTGGTTTATAAGAAATATATAACAGCAATGTTATCCAAAAAAATGACGTTTAAGTCCGTGGAAGAAGCTCAGCAGGGAGCTAATAAGATCGTCAAAGAAGCGAATCAAATCAGATCGTTCTTCAAAAGGATAGCACCTGAGGGAGTCAATGTTGATTGGCCTTTCGAAGTTATTAAAACACTTGCAGAGGTAAGTTACCGCACACAACATACTGGAATTATGTTTTAAACGAACGTACCTATACGTATAATAGTGATTGTTTTTGACACGGCAATAAAATTAGATAGTACCTTTTCTAATATTTATATGTTACATCTCTCTCTCTTCTTCTCTTCTCTCTCTCCTTCTTTTTATAAATAATTAATATATAAATATCCTTTAGACTCGTTAAGACGTTTGTACATTTTACGGCCAATTAGTTCCCTTTGAAGGCCGTGGTGTCAGTTTTTTATTCAAATATTAAGCGAGAACAATATGAACAAAACTAAGGGACTATTTTTAAAGTATGCTATGTTTAAAATATGCGGTCGGCACGGAGTTACTTGAAAACAATTGGGTACTATAGGTTATATAATATAGGATGTGGTTGGCGTAGGTGCTACGTTGTCAGGACATGGAGATGGTGTCGCTGGACCTGCACGGCGTGGCGGACAAGTGCCCCGACGTGACGGCGGAGCAGCTGGCGCGGCTGCTGGCGCTGCGCGGGGACGTGCCCCGGGCACACGTGCGGGACACGGTCACACACGTGCTCGCCACGAGGCAGCCCCCCAGGGCACCCTCGCACCCCTCACTCTTCAAACACATCAAGTTTAATGACCGCCTTCTCTCGCAGTTTGCACTGTAACTACCCTCTGTACACGGTTACCAATCAATACACTATTATCCTATATTATTACGTAAGTATTTTTTATTTGGCCTAATCACCCTTAACTTAGGGTAGGGGCTCCGAGCCAGTGGGGACGTATAGTGAGCTGATGATGAAGACTTTTTATTTAAGCTGTATAATTTTCTTTGTATTACTTTTAAAATATGAAATAAAACCTATTTATTACTTATTTAATTACTTGCAACATTTATTTTTTGGTCGTTATAAATATATTTGCAAAGTCGAAATAAACAGTAAAATATACTTCAACTTTTTTTAGTAGGTAACCAGAGTATGCATATCTACCAACAATTTTACAACATTTTCTGAATCATTTGTCAATTAAAGATATACATTAATTAAATTATCATTATCGGTGATTAGTACAGGAAAAATTGGATTTATTTGAGAGAGGTGTTTGATTTTTTTAGAATATTATTTTCATTTACACTTCTTTCAAAAACCATTTTACATACATATATATTTTAAACTTCCACAATTATAATCGCATAAATGAAAAGTATCCGTTGCTGTGGTAGACTGATTCAAATAAATGTAATTTTAGTAAAAAATTATATTACGATTTGTCCCAAAGTATCCTAGTTGCACGATATATGAGAAAAAAATAAAGAATGAGGTCATCCAGTACTTGAGATCCAAAATTAATCGATGAGAACTTGAACATCTGAAGTAATCCTCATAACTTCAATCGGACCGGATTAAAAGTGTTGTTAAAATCTGTTCTGCCCGAATTGTGTGTTCCGCATTATGTTTAGGCGGCGAAATTCGGTCGTCCTAATTCTACCGCCCTAAATCATCTTACTGTAATTTAAACATTTTATACGACTCGGAGGTTAAGATATGCTTTTTAAAAAATGTTTTTGGCAAAAATTACAATTATTCAGATTACATCATTTTGATTGCGCGTGACATGCCGCGAGTTACAAAATAGCGTCCTTGGGTAAAGATAGGGTTGCTTTTTTAGCAATTCATCATTCAACGCTTTAATTAAAGTTGTTATAAAGCATAAAAGTTATTTATAAACTTTAAAATCATCGACACTCGTCTATAGCCATCTTGGACACGCCACGAGTTGGCTCGTAAAGAATTTCTAAAGGTTTTAGGTTTGCGACCGTCAATTATTTCATTATAATTGAGAACAAATGAAATTGAAGTAAGTCATTCTTTAAATTTGTTTTATTATGTTAACATTAAATGGATATAAATGTTTTATTGTGTTTGAAATAAATTAAAGAAAGAGTTCATCTATGTTTTCTTTTCCTACACAGAAATGATATGTATGCCAATTTTCATCATCTGGCCATTCAGCCCAACTTTGTTACAGTCTTTATATACACCCAGATTTGTAAGGAAAAGTATAGGAAGCGAACTGACAATGGCAGTTGGATGTCAGCGGTACGGCGTTGCGGCAGTGGGCATCTGGAAGGAATCATTTGATACAAGAGGCCGATTATCCCGCGCTAACTGAAGGCCAATTTGCTGGTGGGCCGAGCAGCGAGCAGGGCAGGCGAGGGCGGGCGCGGGCGGGGAACGCGGGCCAGCAGTCGCGTCGTGTCTGCCGAGGCGAGCTGCGGCGGCATGTGGCGCAGCATGTGGCGCGCCGGCTGCCTCCTCCTGTGCCTAGTGCCAGGTAACATCGACACTAGCCTCATACAAAACTCTTGCAATAATATACGCATCACAGAACCCACCGCAGCAATTCTACGTAGGCGGATATCACCGTTTACATTTCAAATCGTAGCGTACGATCGCGATGATCTTCAAATCATAGTGCCATGTTCTCAATGTGTATTATATTAGCTATCTTACACTCTTGAAATTTTGCATATTTTGAAATTGTGCACTATCCTATTAGTTTGTAAAGTCTTAGAAGAGGTAAGTTTTTAATTTTTTTTTATATATTTATGAGCATATTTCATCTTCAATATTTTCAAAATCGTTTGCTAGGTATTTGAAGTGCATGTTGGTATTTTAAAATAGTAAAAAGTTTTTCTTGCTCAATAGTTTGCGCGTGCCAACCATTACGTCTTGTTTATAACCACCTGTTAAAGTAAAACGCTCACTAAATCTTTCGTCTTATGCCAGTAGTTATAGTTTATTTACGTTGCATTTAGAACGCGGATATAAAAGTACAATGAGTCATGCACTCGTGTATTTATGTTTTTTTTTTAATTTTCATTTCTTTAAAAATCTGATAAAGTTCAAAAATTCTGGCGTCAAAAATTATTTTATTTTCCTTTTTTGTTGTTGTTCATGGCATGACTCCTTTTTCCCTCCCTCATTACAAGGAACCTTTCACGTGTACTGACTGTTCATCATCAGAGTTAATTCTAATAATTATAATTGGACGTAAATGCTTTAATCTCAGGGCTAACTTGCTGAGATGAGAATAGAATATTTACTTACGTGATGTCAATTTATGATAACGAACCAAAATGAGATATGGATAGCAGATTATTCGTTCAATACTGATTTAACTCCATTTCATTTGTAGAGGCTTTTCGGCCCTTTATTCAACAATCATGCTCTTCACATAAAGATTTAGTTTAGGTTTCTTACGAGGACCAAAAAAGCGTCAAAATTATAATGAAACATATCGCACAAGGAAAAAATATAAACAGAAGAAAATTTTCTCCAGTGCTATTTAAACGATTGTTATTTATTATTACGAGGCAAAAATACGTATATAGTGCCTTGGCTCTTGACAGTTAGTGTTGTGTTCGCACTGCAGGCTCTAGTAAACTAAGTTAGACTGCAACTTAGGTAAAGCGTCAAAAGACAGGCTTTTCTTGGTAGCTTCTATTGCATTGTGGTCCTCCGCGGCGCACGTGCCTCAGGTCTGGCCCTGTCTACATGGCCTTTCAAATAATTACCTCCATTTTATCCAGATGAGTCCAGAAACGTCGACGAAATCTTCTGTTATGGTTTAATAATTCAGTGAAAAACAGTTCGTTGATGTCTTAAAGTATCAAGACACCAAGAAACTCTCCTCATTTTCGCTTCATTTTATAGATTTGCTTTATCACATCTAAATTGTATTGTTTTAAATTTTGTATTTTCGGTGATTTCTCTTGTCTGCTGACTTTACACATTACAATATGTGTAAAAACAAGTAATTTGTGGTGTAAGCAAACGCAACCCATTCCCGAAATATGCGTCTATATCCGGCTAGTCTGTAACTGTTGACATCACCGATAAAAAAAGCTGATAAATGTTTTGATGTTCTCTATCTCGGGGTCAGTGGCTCTTTAATAAATGTTATCTATTTTCTATTATTAAGTAGATTGTATTTGGTGACGATATACTGTATTTATAATTTAGTGTTGACAAACAACAACACTACGCCCGAAAACTAGAGGGATGGGCATAGATTACCGATTTTCATTTGGAACAGACCTGGCATATATGTTTGATTAGTGTTGATTCAGACCTACCACCATTAAAAACATAAATCGATTTGTTCTGTAGTTGCTACTCTTAAACAGAAAAAAGGTAATAATTAAACAGTGTAATCAATAGTATAGGTTTGAACAGCGTCAGTCGATAAGTAAGCTGAAGTATAAATATTTGTAAAAGTTCAAAGTAAAACTTACGATCGAGAGAGAATACACCTTCCTACTTGAAATTATTTAATCATGATGTTAACCGAATCCAAAGAAACGAGTAATTTCCTTGTTTTTAGAAAACTTTAAGCTGTTTATTTTCATCATATGGTCACGATGAAAACCTTATCCGAAGGTACCTATTATTAATTGTTTTTGAAGTTTATTGCATTTGATTAAAAAAATCTTATTATTTTGTTTGATAATTAAAATGCGTCGCGTGTCTGGCATGCCGCAATGGCAGAAGATCCGCCACCGACCGCGGTATTTTTAACATTCCCGGACCAACTCAAGGTTGCCTAAGATAGTCGCTTATTCATTGGGATATGACCCAATTTACCATAACATCTTATAAATAGAATATTATCATTTGATTTTAGAAAGCTTTCTAGGTCTACCACACCATTTCAACTAATAATACGAGGACTAAATAAAGAAAGATAATACAAGATGCTATAGACCAACTGCGAAGCAAAATTTCAGTTAAAACTAGATGACACACACTCTTATAAATATTATAGATAAGCAGGATGTTATCTTTTAAATTTAAAATTAATCCGTATACCCTAAAAATAATTTAGGTACAGGTTGTAGATATGACAACATTGGCAAATCGGAAAGTTTTTTTATGTAATTTAATAATGGTATGTATGTAGTTCTATAATTTAAGAGGTACTTAAATTATGCGTAAGTGTCTGATACAGAAATTACAGGCGTGGGTGCTGTTGCCGTTTTAAATAAAAGATGAATGTCATTTTTAACTGCCCTAAACTCTATATAATAGAATTGATCCGTTACACGAGTGAAACTGTTTGGAGCGTGCGGCGTGCGCGTGCACGTATTGTTAGACGGCACTCGGGATGCGCTGGCTAGGCGATTTACTTCGCGCGGATGCTTCGCGACATAAAGTCGGCCGTCTATGATGTTCCTACACCTAGATTATACGGAATTAACATTGTGATATTGCTATTACGGTTTGAAAATTTAAACGACGTGGGTAATAATAAATGTAAATAAGAGTTAAGGGCCTTTAAAAAAGGATGTCAAACCACCAAAATCCTGAAACCCTCAGTGTTAAAACTTTTTTTATAATAACTGTAGATAAAATCTTACTTTTATTTTCCAGTTACGCGACAGATATCGATCACAGAGTTCTCAGTCCCGCATGCGGTGCAGGCGGGAGAGGATGCAGACCTGCACTGCAAGTACGAGCTGGCGGCAGAAGAGTCCGACAAGGGCATGTACGTGAAGTGGTGGTGGACGCCCCTAAACGCCACCAGCGATCAGATGCACCAGCTATACCAGAGGATAGTCGGCCTCGAACCCGTCACTATTCATAGCACTATACGTCTAGGTACATACTAAACACTTTTTGTACCCTTTTGTACAACAAAGGACCTATAGTATTATTAGTCAAAATTATGCAACTTATTACGTAAACTTTAGTTAATTATTCTGGCCTGGTGGTCCATCTCACAGGGTATCACTCTAGTTTGGACACCAGTCTCCGGCCCTTATGAGAAAAAATAATAAAGTTATTTAAAATTCTTGTACCTTTGTATAAAATGTTCAACATATTACGAACTATATATATCGACATCAATGTTCCTTGTCATGTTTTCAGAGTTATTGGAAAACGATGGCATTCGACTGTTAAACATGACCCCCGCCGACTCTGGGACCTACGAGTGCGAAGTGTCTAACATAGACGAGGCGCGGGCGCACCAAGACGTCATCGTCTACTGTAAGTACAAACGTAACGACAATGATAACAAGTTACTTTAAATACAATATAGGTTATTCAGTTATTTTGTTTCTTAACTTATTTTTAGTATACTAAAGAATATTTATATGTTGTATAAAGCGATGGGCAGTGGGCCGCAGCTGAATTTCTCGGTGGCGGAGGATGGGCCCGATGAGGACGAGGAAGAGGATGTGACGGTGACGTGCGAAGCGAGCGACGTCGCGCCATACCCAGACATGTCCATCACTGTAGACGGGTAATGCTGTTAATATAACGCTAGATTTCCGTTATCATAGCATCTGTATTTGACTTTCAACTTTTCAGGTTGATATTGGAAGTCCATTCTAACATTATGGTTACTTGCAGGAATTTAATTTCTAACGTCTCAGAAAATGTAGAGGGGCCATTCGACGGATTGTATGACATTGTGTTCAATGCGACTGTCAGCAAAAGTACAGTCGACGGCGCCGAAGTGCGCTGCGAATTGTTCTTTAAAAATGACAATATTTCGCACCCCGCCTACGTCGATATTGAAACATACAACTCATCAGGTATGTTGAAATGCTTATGAATGTGAAATCAAAACTTACACATTTTTAATCGTATTAATTAAATAATCTGAAATGTTGGTCAAAATCTTTCGATTGGCCATTGATATTATAAAAAAACACGGAAACTAAAAAGAGTAACCGAATTGTGATCATGTGCACATACTAATATTTCAATATTAAAATAACTATTTTGTTAGATTTATCTCAAATACAGTCAATAAAGTGCGATAATAACAAGAAGATTTATGTATATTATTCATATAAAAAATGAATAGGTTGCATTTAATTAAATTGCTTTTACAAAATAATTCGTGTTTTCCGTTTACCAGAATAGATTTATTTATTAAGAAAATGTTTAACAATGCTAATGCATGATGTATCTGCATTTCAGTGTACTCTGAATGTTAACGATGTGTTAGTGCTCTAGATTTTTAAAACTTCCTTAGTTTCATATCTGTCTTATAGCCTTTAAGCGTAAAAAAAAACTTTAACTGTGGTACGAGGGTATATTGTCATCTCTATCTTTCTCTAAAAAATCACAGACAATTATATATTTTTGTTTTTTTTTGTTGATGGTTGAACGAAATCTACTATTTCGTACATACTTGCGTCCAGTTAACATTAGATGCTCACTCTTCAGCAAAATTATTTAAAGAATCAATTTTTATATCATATTTTAATAAAGTCAGTGAAAGAGTTGCTTTCTAGCGCGGTCAGTTTTTATAAGCGTGTGAGTAAGAAATAACATTGAATTAGCCCTATTGATAAGCTAGCTAGGTTATAATGTGTGGCCATGTTTGCTAACTAACGAGGTGTTGTATGTCGGTGGGCGCTAGGCGACGAGCCGACCACGACGGAAGCCCCAGAGACCTCCACCACTACCGATATCGTCTCCGACACTTTAAAGAACATAAGTAAGTCTTCTATATTAATTTAGACCTACCCCCAAACATTAGTTATTTTAGCACCCCTTTTATCATGAAATTTTGGGTTTGATCTTCCACCACATTGTGTAATTTTTCCAATTCCTTATTCGGTTGTACATGCTATATTATTTAGAGACCTTCAATAGATTAAATTTTCCCAATACTTCTATGTTGAAAATACAGCTATATGAAGTACCCATATTCAACAATATGATTGTGAAAAAGTGATTTTGTACCTGATTAATGTTTATTCCAGAAACACCACCATTGCCTTAGCGTCAGTTTTTAGTTAAACAAAGTTCCAGTTTAATTTCTTCTATAAATATTCTACGTTAACCCTAAAATAGATTTTTTGGCTTTTGTATTTGCTTTTTATTTAACAAACACGACATTTGGCCAACAATCATTAATATATTTGTTGTGATATTTATTTACCTAATATCGGTTTGCTTTATTATCTAATAACGTAATTTATTATGTTATTTAAGAATTCATTTACTATATTAGAATTCAATTATATCTATAAACAATGAATTATGTACTTATGCTTTGTTATTAATTTCTATTAAAATATTTTAACACTTAAAAAAAATATTAATTATTATTATAGTACATATTTATTTAAATAAATCTTTGTAATCATAATTAACTGATATATTTTTTATAATATACTTTTTGTATTAAATACAGCTTCATATTTTAGTAATTTATAAATTGGATTTATATTACAGATGGCGGAGAGAGACTTGGAACTTGTCACTTTTTTGTCTTTGGGATTCTGTTACCAGCACTTTCTAGCGCAATTTTGCTTTAATTCTTTCAATGTGATACTAATAAATAATTACAATATTTCTTAAAACTTCTATACGATATGTTTGTTGTAATAAAATTTATATGAAAAAGAAAATCGTAATTTATTCATCCATTATATTTTAAATACCAAACTAAGCTTTTATTTACATTTGTAACAATCCACCAAGTAGTACCAATATTGTTATGCAGTGAAGTGACAGCTACTCTACCCATAGATTTCTGCAAAAAGCTTAGAAGTTCCAGACCTTTGACAAGGAGATAAATATATAAAATACCATCTTCCAACCTGACTCCACCCATACGAAACGCAGATGTCAGATTCCAGGGGCTAGATTACAATAGTCAAGGATGTATATTTTATTCACAAAGGGCCTCTAGGATTCTGTCGTAACTAAGGGAAAGTAGTCGAGGGAATTACCACAGTATTGAAAATAAAATTAATACAAATTATATTTCTTTTATTTTTATACATTATTGTTGTAAATCGACAATTGCACTACATATGCAAATTAAAATATAAAACAGAAATGTCATTTGGTTACATGTTAACTAATTTATTTTTATCACTATGTTCGATGGCCGTAGGTAGACGTTATAGGCGAGTCTGCCTACCTTACACTTACATTTATTATCTACAAACTAAATGTCTTATTCAAAAAAAAACATCTTTATTATAAATATTTGTTTAACAAATTATGCAAAATATTGTAATTAAAAAAATACGAGTCTTTGATTTTTACTTAGGTTTAAAAAATCTTTGGCAATAACTACGCCATTGGCAAATTAGCCTTGTCCTAACACTTAAAGCTACGCTATAATCAGCATTACTGTAATCAGCATTTCCACTTTTTGAATTACATAAAGCAATAAATTTAGTCACATTAAATAAAAGACAAAATTTAGAGCACATGAAGGCATGTTGCTATCTGCCATGTTACCAACAGATAGAAGAACAAAATTGGTAGAATAGCAATTTGCCACAATGCTTTTATAATTTAAGTTGTACTTGGCAATCAGTTATGGTACTACTCATTTGATCTGAATGCATTTTTGACAGTTACAATTGTGCTTATAGTCTAACTAGATTAAAAATATTTTTGATTTTATACTAAACAATTTTAACTTAACATATTTGGCAGATATTTCTTTTAGGTACAATAAATTTAATCTATTTTTAACCATTTTTGTAAAATCGAATTATTTAGATACTTTCATTTATGCGTTTTGTCAATCCCAGCAGGGCTGCCGCATGCAATACTGCATGAATTGTGTCGTGTCTTTCTTGAGCAGTCACTAATATCGCCCGAAGCAACAGATGTCAATGCAACTGTTTTATCAAAATCAATCGTAGTATACCCAACATTCAAAGGTGCCACAGTTGATAAAGTGTTTGTTGTGGTTGTCTTATCAAAGCTATTCTGAGACACCAAACGCCCACGAGTTTGTGATGAATGTGAGGCGGTGCTTTCATGTTTTGAACTTGTATAAGATTGATTTTCTGGTGAAACTAATTCTCTTGTTGCTTTCGTACAATCTTTGTTAGAATCTATATCCAGAATAGCATAGTTAACTTCAAGTTCCTCCACTGGTGACAATGAAGTGAAAGTATCAGACTCAGAAAACTTCTGATTTGGATCTGGAATATTGAAATGAAGACTTGGTTTTAAGTTTTTAGAGTTCTCAACTATTTCCCCTAACAATAAGTTTGCATAACTGTTAATTTCTTGCTTGTTGTTGATAGTTAAGTTACAATATTCAACTTGTTTAGGTGTCAGTGGTGTTGTGGGAATAGGGTCATTTTTCTCAGTTTCAGATAGATTTGTATCAGCTGGGGCAACATTAACATACAATCTTGCCGCTTCCTGTTGTTCTATACTGAGCTGTGCATAATGTTCGCTGTTACTACTTAATGTTGGTGATAGTGTTTTACTAACTGAACTTTTAGGAACATTTCCATTAATATAGCGACTTTCCAAGTATCTTGTTTCGTCTTCAATATCTTTCATAGTATTCAAAGCAGTTTCTTGTCGCAAAGTGTTTCTAAGAACGGCCAAATCTCTACTTATATCATTACTGTATACATGCCGAGTGTCTGTAGATGTAGCTGCATCTTGGTTGTTGTTATGTTCTCTTTTAAAATCCCTTACTTGATACACATTAGTAACTTGACTATTAGCTGCTTGAGGACGAGGGTTTAATGGCATCACTTCTAAAATGTCAGCACTTGATGGAGACCTAGGTGACTGGGTGGCATTTCTCATGACAGTGTTCTGTGAAGCTATGTTGGAAAGATTGCTGTTATGAGTCGGTCCAGCAGCATCTACTTGTCCATTATCAATTGACGAACGATGAACTACAGAGGCCTGTAATGTTTGACGTCCCTGAGGGGATGGTGTTAATCGGGATACAGGATATGGCACGGAATCATGTATGACATTTCTTAATTGAATTTGTTGTTGTAAAGTACGAAATAGTATAGAAGCCCTTCTGCATCTAAATGCATAAATTCCTTCTCCTGTCTCACATCTTCTCCCTGAAAAAGACACAATTAATTCAATATAAGCACTCTGACTCTTTACTTCACCTACCATAGATTTCTGAGATCAAGATCTCTGTATAAAACATACTGTCACCCTGTTATTTTTTTTTGACAAAATAGTAATAACATGCTTTGAATGGAGATTTTAGTCTCAGACACCCACATTTATTGCAACTAAATGTATCAAGTCCATAAACAATGATGCTGAGTGAAACGCACCTGATTCAAAACTAAATATTTCTGCTTCAAAACCGTATCGTCGTAAAGAGTGTAGAGGCCATACAGTAGAGTCTCTTCCTTCTCTGTACAAAACAATATCGGACTCTGTAATCTCTAATTGACCTGTACAGAGTTCTTCTCCATTGTCATCGATATTCATCACACGAAAAATATTCGGATGTAAATCGATAACCTCTTTTTTACTGTGAAGGCACCCCATTACTCCGATATATTTATACAGTCAAAGGAACCTGAAATAATTAAACAGTCGCTGCACAAAACACATTGAATGGATATTTATATTAGATAACAATCAGACACAATAAAATCAAAGCTACTAACATTGCATTATTTTCATGGTAAACAATAATCCATCGCCAGTGATTATTTGATCAATATCGTCAGTATTTATGGCACTAAAACTTTATCTTCCTTTTTATCTTATGTCGTCACTCGTGTCAATTAGTTTGTGGATCATTATAGTTTCTATTTATTTACTGTTTGTAACTATTAATGTAATTTTCCAATTCCATCAATTCTATACATTTTGTTACTTTTGCGATTTGTTTTCAATTTGACAATTAAGTGTCGGGTTGCCATTTTCACGAAACTTGACAAGAACTTACAATAAAATCACCTTTAATTTTTATTTTTTCACAATATGAAATGGTGTTTTTTATTATAAATTAAAATGGAACTGGATTAGATATTAAATAATCTTGCAATCAATAGGATATAAGACGGAAAATGGAGACTTGGTTTCGTTTATCCGACCGAACCATAACACCTCCGAATAAACAATATTTACAATATAGGTATTTAGAAATATAAAATACAGAGATTATAACGAATTTATTAATAAAGCATTTTATACGGCAAAATAAAAGTTTTGGGCAGTTCATTTGTTTTATTTCATACAGGGATTTATTTTTATATATTTATTATTTTATGATTGTTCTTAATTAATACATTTTAAAAGTCTCATCTAATTTTTTAAATACACACTATAATGATTGCATTATGTGTAATCTAAAACCTGCGAAATTTTGAATTAATGTAAATTTCTCAACGCCGAAATTTTTTCATTTTTCATGTAAAAACTAGCATCGCTAGGTCTCAATTTTACTACCCTAAATTTCTTCGTATTAACACTTCACAAGTTTCCACAATCAATTCTGCTAAATGTATATTTTGAAAGTTAGTTGATGTCTCGGTGGACATTTTTTTATCCACTTGTGATAAAAGTATTTGCAGTATTACCATTGTTGTAGTTAAAGAAGGGTTAGCAGGTATAGACACATCCAAAGTCTGCAAAACAAAACATACTGTTTATTATCCCTAAAACGAATGCTGTCAAAAACGTAAATATTTTGAATACTGAAATATAAATTATAAATACCGTATTCTGTAACCGTTTGTAAAGTTGTGGTGGTACTGTGACAATCCATTCCGGTTGATTTTTACACTTTTCAAGATTTCGTTTCAACCTTTGTATAGTGATGGCTACAATAGGCACCAATAACATTTCAGGATCCGCTACCGACCCTACTACAGTCTGCGCCAACGTATCATAACCCATATGGTACAATCCTACGACCTATTTTAGAAAGGCATATTTTTATAATTATATACAGGTTAATCACTTTTTTATTGACTAGTTTTTGGAGGAGGTACTCAAACTCTTCTTTTAGGTACAGTCGAGGGCAACACAAGTAACTTCGATCAACAGTAAACAGTTAATTTTTCAAGCACATCAGACATTACGGAATTGAAAGCAAACAAATTGAAATCATTAAATATATCATCAGCTTACAAAAGTAGTAAGTGAATGTAAGTAAATAGTAATACTCACATATTGGTGCTTTACAAAGTTTTCATTGACATTCCATAATTCAGCTAAAGTAGTAATATTTTCCATCCAAAGCAAACAGTCCTCGTTATTATAAAGTAGATTTGCTTCATCACTATTCACACAAGTGATGGTATCAATCGCAGCACGTATTAATTTCGTTAAAAATTTCATTCTAGGATTAACCATTTTTCCAGAAGGCTTCATATTTATATCTCTCTGAGCAATATTTCCAACTAGAGCCTCGATAAGGTATTGATAATCCATATCAAATAATGTGTCCAAAGCTTTCGGGAATTTCACGTTAAAATGGCATTGATAGTAGATTGTACAAGATATTTGATAATTAAGATTTAGTATATCATTATCAACATTTTTCACATCTTGGGCGACTTCGACCAATGACGGCATGCTCTCATCCCATATTTTCTCATATTTTATGACTTTTTTTTCTTGGTCAATAGCTGTGGTGGAACAAACGTGAAAATCGCGAAGGTATTGAGTTACGACTTGCAGAAAACTTTTCAAATGTTCACTGTTGAATCCTAAATCCTGCAAGCAAAGATGATCTTTTGGCAGTTTACCAACCTTATTGACTAAACGGCAAGTCAATTCAAAACTATGTTTGATATACGTAGACCAAATGATAGAAAACAAACCAAGACGAAGGTGCAAGTTAGATATATGTTTTAGGCAATGGAGAACAGCTTTTATATTTTCATTTGCTTGCATAGATTTCTGCCAATTTATTGCGTACTCCCAACACATGTTAGCAATAATGTAGTCTGCTAATGTACTCAACGGGAACTGTCGGCGAAGGAGAGAAAGCCATTTAAACAAATTTTGATTGTCATCAACATATGCCCGTGAATTTACTAAAAACAATTGCGCTGATTCACTACTTTCGTCGTCAGTATCTATATCGGTCTCAGAATATAGATCAACTAGTTCATTAGCAATTATAGCTTCGGGCAGTACACCCATACTACAAAGCCACTTTGCTATTAATTCGGTCACAGATCCTTTTCCTCTGGTGTATATGTATTTTAAATTAATATTGAAATCTTCCACAGACAATTTAGGTAGTGTTTTTCCTTTAAAAGTTCCTTTAAACATTAAAGTAATGCTAAGTACTGAAATATCCTCTAATTTACCAATTAAAAGACCCCATTTTGCATTCTCTTTTGTCACTGATTCCCAAGCATCTTCTCTTCCAGTCGTCTTGCCTTCAAACAAACTAGCCACCGCTTTACAAGCCATTGCTACTATCATACTTTTCAATGGACATCGCATTTCGACTAATAAGTCGCGAATATTCTGCCACCAAGGTGAAATATCATTGTAATTAATATTCGTTGCGTCCTCGGTAACTTTGCAGAGATAAAATAATATTTCAATAATGTTCTCGATTAGTTCAATATTAATTTCATCTAGTGACATGTTCATTACATGCGTGATTACCAGTTTGACTATCTCTTTAGAATCAATATGACTCTCTCTTACTACATTTGTTAAATTGGAAAAATCTTTTAATTTTATGATAGATTTAAAAATATTAGCAGCCAAATTGTCGAGTTTTTCAGCAGCAATATCAGGTTTTAATGTAATAACTTCGCTTGTCTTATCGAAAACAAAATAAGACATAAATTCTTTATAAGAACTTGTATTGTTATCCACAAAAGAAACCCTTGGTTGGTACTCCTTAAAATTATTTTCCTGTGCTAAAATCAATAATCTTTCCAATATGCAACTATCATCTTCCAAGAGATGAAAAGCTCGACATGTTTCATCTTCTTCGTTGGTTTCATTTTTCGTATGTGTCAATTTTAAATCTTCACATACTTTCTCTACTATCCCCTCCATACCAACACAAGCGTCGTCATTAATGTTTCTAAAAAAGAAAATCAGCAAAGCCAATTTAGCGAAATAATTCTTAGTTTCTTGGACTTGACTGTTTAAGCTTTCTTTCTCAACACTCTCCCAAAATATTTCTAAACAAGATGTAAGAACGTCGCTTGGCATATTCGTATTTCTTATAAATAAATCCATACAATGTTTCCTTATTTCCAATGTTTTAAAATTTGTTGCCTTTTGAATTATTTCATTTTTTGATTCCTCAGAGAGCAACTGTTCCTTTTTCATAATTTCGCGTATTTCGCGCAAAACATGCAAGTCTTTGGATCGTTGTAAATGTTCACCTTCTAAAGAATAATAGAAAGGTATATTGAATTTCTTCAATTTACCATCAGGGTCTATTAAAACGCATTGAAATTCGGGCATGTTAAGTTTTTTATGATTATAATTTTTTTCGGCTCCAACCAAACCACAGCTGTTGTATAGAAGTTGACCATTTTTAGTTGCTGTGAAGACTGCAACACGCGTGCCTCTCTGCATTAGACGAATGTCAATAAGGCCCTTTTTCGGGTTGTAAATAATTAAAAATATAGCTCTTCTTATTTCTTTTATTGATGTCAGTTGCGGTTTTTTGCTATCTGTATCAAAAATCTGAAAAAAAAAAACTTAATACTGCCGCAAAACAAACACCACACCATGACGTCAATGCTTAGCTTAAAATTCCCTAATGTTACCAATGGAGACACAAAATGTCTGCTTTAATTCGCAACAATAGACTACAAAATACGACAAAACAATGCATTTTACCTGGACAAACGCACATTGTGCATCCCTATAACCTTTAAATAGCCGAATTATATATCCACTGTTGACATCCAGTACCGCAACTCGGCCCAAGTTGTCTGCTAACGCCGCCAGCCGGCGATCCGGAGATATAGCTACGAATGTCCCGAGGCGCTGCGAGTCATATATACCATTACGCATCGATAGTGTCTCCGATCGGATGATAGGCTCAGGATTTGCAACCATATTTTCAGTTGACCCACCACCCAGCCAGCCACTTAAAACATTAAATCAAAAACTTTTATTGCTAGCAATAAAATACAGACGTCGTTTTAAGCCAACAGCATTATATAAGATATGTGTTTATAAAGTGTTAATATAAATATGTAATACTTTTCAATAAAATTTAATAAATTTAATTAGCAATTGGTTTGGTTGTGGAGACAGAACAAAATTATTTATGTCTTGACAAGACTATAGGTGAAAAATAATGTCATATGCATGTAAGTTCAATATAGTTAAAACTTAGAACCATAAATAAAAATGAAAATATAACTCACGGCAAAGCAGATTTTATTTTGTTAGCAACAGCTCTTGCAACATCTTGCAGTGGTGGTGTTGTTCCACCTTCCAGTGCATAATGAAATCCAGTATATGGCGATGTTCCTACTGTTAATATTAAACTATTGACTGGAGGAATTGACCTGTACCTGTAGATTTACAAGTATCATTTTAATAAAGTTCTAGTATGAATAAAGTCTTATAATAAGAGACAAAGTAATATTAAATATGTATTGTTAATTATGGTCATACCAGGTGTCATAGCCTCCATATGTTGAAGCCGCCAGAAAATGATCAAATGTATTTTTCAATTCAAGGCCCACAACTGATGCATCGCTAATCAATTCTTGTTCAGTAAATGACCATTTTCTTATATTTATACTGCGACTATCAATAACATAATCACTTTGTACACCAGCCTGAACTAAAATTATTGGTTTTAAAATATATTAATATTTCAATTTCAATGAAAATTGTCATATTGTTAATATATTTGCAATGCAACTTACCACGGGCTAACTGTGCTTTTGCATTTCGGAGTGTTTGAAATAAACTTGACCCAGACAAAATGCATATGCATCCTTGAAACAAAATATGAATATCATCTGGTAAAGTTCCATATGTTCCTGTATGACATGATATCTTCATAACAGGTTTATCATCCAATTTTTCAAGCAATAACAAATGGCCAGTATTAGTATAAAATCCTATACTGCCATTAGTAAATCCTACAATAATGCAGAACCAATCAGGTCCATTCTGTAAGAATTAAAAGAAACAAAGTTAATGATACACATTGAAAAGGAAATAAACATTAATTTTTAATACAGCACAACCTGAGAAGAGTGATATGATGGGCAAATAGATAAGGCCAAAATAGCACTTATTTCTGCAGGTAATGTCCCACTCCACGATATAATAAAAGTGTTACTTTCAATAGCACTGATCCACTGTGTTGTAAGAAGACACAAACGATTCTTGAAGCCCACAGCCAGAAGGTTACCACAAGGCGACAATGAGACAGAACATTGTGATAGCCAATTTTTATCTGGAAAAATGAAAAGTTTTATCGAGACTTTTTCTTATTATCAAGACACAAGTGTCCTTACCTTCTCTTTCAGGAATAAAGAGAGATCTTCCTAAACTTAAAATGTCTCCACAATCAGCAATCTGTTCCACAGTGCACATTTTTTCACAAATTCAATTATCCATTACGATTATAATTGCATTTATTTCTTTTATTGATCGTATTACAGTATTATTGCAACAAAAACTTGATCAAATCTTTGTATTTGACACTTGAAATAGGTGTTTCAACCAAAGAGAATAATAAAATATTTGGAATTGTTATAACATGACGTGACAGAAGTTTGACATTGACAGTAGACAGTGACAGAACCAACCTAAGAAATTTGACAGATTTCAGCTGTATATACGCCCGCATAGTGCCCCGATTTATTTAATAATTAAACTATATTTATGAAATTAGTGAACGTTATTAAGTTTTAATTAAATCAATTACCTAAGCGCAAACGTATGAAGTAAAATGCAGCGTGAAGAAAAACAATTGGAAGCAACATTGCATGCCATATTAAATCGTGTAAATGATCTTAAAACTGCTATACAAGCACTAATATCAAAACTAGAAAATGAATATGAAACTATTAACTGGCCGACATTTCTTGATAATTATGCCATTTTATCAGGACATGTATGTATTATTGACATAATACAATTATAAGTATAACACAATTATTGATTATTATTACAATTTCTATCAAGCTATGCATCAATCCGCAAATAATTGTCTCCAAAAAAGTTGTGTTTTGATGCCTATCTTCTGATTTAATTCCATAAAGAACCAAACATAGCCATAACATTTCGATTACTTCTAGGTTAATATATCTGATAAATAAATTTAATTCTAGCTGACTGGTTTGAGCAAAATTCTTCAGTCTGAAGTGGCTCCATCATTACGATCTGTAGTGGTTCTTCCCTTGCAATTGGGATGTGAAAGAGATGAAGCTTTAGCTCGTTTGACCGAAGGCCGTGTACCTGCATGCACACATGACTTGGTTCCTGATTTACTAAGAACTAAACCAGAGCCTCAAGCTGAACAACGTCTTCAGCAATTTAATCACAAAGCCAGCACACTCAGTCATGATACTGCACAGGTATATATATATATGGTACAATCAGGATAATTACAGTCATTGTATCAATTTTATTGGGAAATGTACCAATTTGTCTTTTCCAGAAACAAGTGGCACAGTTCACAAAAGTGATTAGTCATGTATGGGAAATCATATCTAAAGGTCGTGAAGATTGGGAGGGAGAATCAATGAGATCAGCAGGTAATTTAATCAACAACATACCACATACATTGATTATTTATACATTTTTATTGTTTGACACAAATATCATTAATCCTACATCCATCCTAAAATTATATTTCTTTCGTACACAGGTATGCAACCCACTCATAGTATTGCTGATACACATGCATTGGTCACTGCAGTGGGAACAGGAAAAGGTCTTCGACCAGGCATGCCATCTATGGGACCTTCTGGTGTGGGAGCACCTGGCTTAGGACCCTCACGCGGCCCGGCGCCTCAACTCGGTCCCGCTGCTGCTGCTATGCCTAAAGCACCCTCTGCTATTAAAACAAACATAAAAGCAGCAAATCAAATACATCCATACCAGCGTTAATTACTGTATTTTTACCTTACATCCAGAGGGATGATTTTTGCGCGTATATAGTTTCATTGTGACCTAAAGTAGAATTAGTAATAGATTTAGGTCTACTAGCCCTTTTTAGGGGGTTAACAGAGTTATGTGAGACGGTGTAAGTCGCAGTCCTGTGGCCCCCTTTCCATGTAGTATTCTGAGCAGTCGCCCAACAGCGCCCTAACGCCAAGTAGAATTGATTCAAAAATCTTGGTTGATAGCTTATTTGATTTTAAAGTGTTTAGTTATTAAGGATGTTGGAGTTATTAATTCTTCAAAAATAACTTATGTGAAATGGAAATATTACAACTAAGAAATAAAACAAACATAATTGTCATTACTTTTTTATTTGAAAACCTGAAAAAAAACAAACCTGAAAACACTTTAGTCATACAATTAAATTACTTGGGTTTTACAATTTCTCAGGAATTCTTATAATCTAAAATCATTAAAATAAAACATAGTGGCAAAAGAAGAGAATTAAATGCATTACATGTTGCTTTGAAATAATATTAGTAGTACTAGTAGACATATAAAACTTACAAGTTTTTATGTAACACAGTAAAATGACAAATGATTACAAACATATGTTCAAGCTAAGGCTTCTAAGCTTTCAAATAAGTTAATACTTTGTGAACTGGTTTGATTAATGTTGTTACATAATAATTTGTTTTAATTAACTGTGTTTATCTGAAAAAAAAAAGAATGTGAATTAGTAAATATATTAGAAATTCTCAAAATCATTTTAGTGTATGGCATGGCATGAATACTTTACATGTTTAAAATATATGTGTTTGAACCATACTCTTTATGTAGAAATCACAACTTTGGTTGTTGATTACTTATGTATTTTGATAAAGGCGGGCGACGTCACATTTATAATGTAGCTATTGAAAGCATGTGTGTCAACATGTACTTACAATGTCGTCGATCTTGAGTATGGCGCGCACGGTCTCCGTGGCCAGCCCGAGTGCGGAGGAGGTGACCTGCAGCGGCTGCAGTACGTGCTCCTGGCGCATGTCAGTGACGCGGCCGCGGCGCACGTTCACACCCGCCCCGCACCCCGCAGCACCGCTCGCGTGGGCCGCGCGCAACTCCGTCACCGTCTCGATAGGGTTTAATCCTACCATACAGCAAAGAAATTTTTGGTGTTCATTTGTGTGTATTTATTGCGTACCATTGATCTGGTCCTTACAATTCCAATTTGTTATTTCAAATAACACTGTATAGAAACTTAACCAGAACTGATGGAATATTTTTTTCACATCTTAGTTTATATAAAGAGTAAGAGGCAATACTAACCGGCGTTCTCAGCGAGCGTTGACGGTACAACTTCTAGAGCATCAGCATAGGCTCGCAGGCAGTAGTGGTCGGCGCCGGGCGCGGCGATGGCAGCCCGGGCCAGCGCGGCGGAAGCGGCTGCTTCGGGCGCGCCACCACCCGGGAGCAATGCCGGTCTGCGCGCTACACAACGTACCACGCACAGCGCATCGTGCAGCGATCGCGCCGCTTCTGCCACCACCGCGCCGCTCGTGCCTCGCACCAACACTGACACCGTGCGCCCGCCGTTGTTGCATCCTGTCATCTGCAATTACATATAATTTTATAGTGAACCCCACATAAACATAAAAATGTCAGAAGAGTAATAGTGGAATGCTTATGATTTATGATACATAGAGAAAACTTTAGGCTTTTTAAAATGAAATCTCATATTATAAATCATATTCAAATTGCAAAACATCACAATATTTTTAATTCTTGTAGTCATTATAAAACTTATGATGAACCTACTTTCGTAAGCAAGTGGTTACCTTGATATATCTGCCACCTGGTTCATTGATCTCTTCTACTAAATCAACATTAACCATGTTCTCTGCTGTGAAATGGTCAAGAGAAGCAATCGGCCGACAACCCAGAGTCTTGCACACAAACTCAATATCTTCACGTTCAATATCTTTGATCACCATGGTTTTGATTTTGTCCAAAAAGTGTACAGCCAAGTCACTTAAGGCATCCCTGCATAACATCAATGTAATAAAATTTAAAAATCAATTTACATTTAACATGACTATCTTAATCAAAAATTTAATTTTTATCTTTAATAGTCTTTTGAAATTATTAAAGTTAACCAAAGTCTACAAATTTTATAATTCTCCTAGAAATTATAGTTGGAACATACCTCAAAATTGACTTCTGCACCAACAAGACATTGCATCCTGCCTTCTTGATCTGTTTGACAATGTTCAAAATATACTGTCGTTCCTCTTTCAACACACGGTCCATGGCGGCATAATCTGATACAATCACATTGTGGTCCATCTGCAACAAAATACAGTATTTCTCAGCATTAATGTAAATTCTCATCATTTCAATACACCTATCTTTAACATTTTATAAAACATAGTAAGACATTGTTAGTATTATTTTTCTAAAATATATAATGTCAAATTAAAAACTTACATCAGTTTTTGGTGGAGAAATGCAGAACTGTATAAGTCCAACTTTAGCTTTTTCAATGCGATGAGGCCCATTTACATTAGCTGAGCGATGAGGGATAACAAGGCCTTGTATAAGTTCAGTATCTTCCACTGTACCACCAATACGTTCAATTACTTTAACGTCACGCAAATCTACACGAGCGCCCACTCCACCGGGAATAGTTTCCATGACTGTAGAATAATAAAATAATACACATAATTCAGACATTTTTCATATCCAAAACAGTATAGTAACACATTTTTATTTTGTTCAATAACTTACCAGCACAAATGGCTTGAACCGCAATAGGGGCTAAAATAGATGAATGTTGTGATACAACTTTGGAGTTAAGAGATGTAGCCGCTGCTTTCAGCAGAGCATCTTCATTGGTAAGATCCACTGGAATCGACATACTTTCTACAACCTGTTAACAATAAATAAATCTTAGAAAAAGTCTTAAATCTTACAAGCTCTTATTTAAAATAACACATATATTGCTTTACCTGTAATGCCATTTGCAAAGCCTTCTGGAATCCATCAGAAATTACAGTTGGATGAATGCCCTTCTGTAAGAGTTTCTCAGCTGCATCCAAAAGGGCTCCAGCAATTACTACAACCGAGGTGGTACCATCTCCTGCTTCAATATCTTGGGCCCTAGACAGCTCCACCAACTAAAAAAATATTGAAATTACATACACACAAAAAAAAGCTTACAGCCTATGATTGGCTTTATGAAATAAAACCTTTTATCTCCTAGTTAATATTACTATTCCATCATTGAAAATTCCAATTTTTATTTAATCAGCATATAATTTGGATAAACTAAAACAAAATGTAAATACCATTTTAGCTGCTGGATGAATAACACTCATTTGTTTTAAAATAGTTGCACCATCATTAGTGATAGTGACTTCACCATTGGCTGCTTGAATCTGAAAGAAAAATAAGTGACAATAGGGAAATTAACCAAACTATCAGTCATTATAAGTTTAGTGGTTTTTACTAATATACTCTCCATAAGAATAGTACATAATGTCTTGGATATGTCTTGTTTAAAATAAATGACTTATTAATACTTTTCTTAAAAAAATCATTAAACTCCAAATTAAATATTGAACTTCACATCATTATTGTGTTTATTCAGTTTGAAAATTTTCTAAAAGTGCAGTTAATCAAAGCAAGACAAATAGGTGAATCAAAAAGGTATGTAATATACTCAGATACAATGCTCACAACAATATAAATAGGTAATTACTAAGAATAATTTTCAATGCTATAATTTCCCTTTTAATAATAAAAACAAAAAATTCTATGTAATTGTGCATTGAACTTTGCTGTTTCATTTAAGCTTTTTCAAAGATTCTAATTGGTAAATTGCACAGGGTTTAATTAATAAACTGTTGACATATAATTAAGTTAGCCACCCTCACCATATATCATGTTTTAACGACTACTATATCAACATACTTATTTTACTCTTGTATGTTAATGATTTTACTAACCATTTTATCCATTCCACGGGGTCCCAAGCTTGTGCGGATAGCATCTGACACAGCTAAAATTTAAAAACAAAGTTTTAACAATTGCTCACTAATAATATTCAGATAATATTGCTAATACATATCCTTCGAAAAGATGGAAAGTTGTAATGAAAACTATTGATCATTTTTGCATCCATATGAAATATTAAAAAATTATACTGCATTTGCAAGTTTTCGTTTACTTTAATTTATTTCAGTTAATAAAATATTATAATAGTGACTATTAATAAGTTTAAAAAGACAAAACAAAAACAGCCGGTGTACACACTAATTAGTCATAGTACTACTAAATAAATTATTTCCTGCCCACCTTATTGTGCTTAATATACACAAAATAAATAAGAAAGTATATATTTACTGAGTAATTAATAGAAAATGTAATATGACGTTAGTTTTAAGCACAAATAAATACCTTTTGCAGCATTTATATTACTTAGGCGAACATCAGTTGGTTTACTCTTGTTTTTATAAACCGTCGAATTAACTTTGGCAGAGTCTCCTCCAGCTTTAGGAGCCATTTTATGTGATAAATAATGTCAATTTAGTATTTAACTAATATCAGATTCTTTTGGATTAATTTTACGAACCGCTAAAACCTTTAGTAAATATCTGAATTTGACATTTAACACTATCTGTCATCTGTCAGTCAAATTCTCGTTCATGACATTAAAAAAACAAAAGCACATGACAAGAAACACAGACTCCTTAAAGCTATTTTTTTAATAAAAAAAAAACAATTCACCCTGCGAGACTTATGTATAATCCTTTTTATTTGGGGTTTTCCTTGTTCTTTCACTTAAATAAATGAATGGCCCCTATTCATCTCATGGCATCTATCTATTAAACCCAGACCCCTGGGGGTAATCTATGGACTAACCCTTCCACCCGCTTGAAGTTGCTTGAAGTTGCTTGAAGTTGACATTTGATAGTCAAAATGAGCTAACAAATTGTTCGCTTTTCCCGCGTTAAAAGTTGTAACGACTCATTTGCGCGTCATTTAGAATTAAGTTTTTTCTCGTTGTACCTGATCTAATTAAAGAATTGTAGTGTATTAAAGTTCCGAAAACTATTTACTTCCCTAATATACGCTTTATTTCAAATTTCGATAAGAATTAAACTACGAAATTGTATCTGTACATAATTAAACAGCTGCAAATTTTCTCATCATGGTTGGAAAAATCAACAAATTATATGTATATAAGAGAGGTAAGTATTTTATTTTTAAATAATTTAAATAAGAGTAACCAACATTGGCATTATTACCAATGTGTTCTTGATGTCAAGTACTCAAAATCTTAAGACTAATTTCTCTACTGACATCAAAAAGGTTCTTAACTCTTTCCCAACAAATCAATTTAAATTTCCCATCCTTTTCAAATGGGAAAGGGTAGGAATTGGAAGAGAACAAGAATTGGTACTTCAGCTCAGAACTCATCAGATAAAATGCACAATACTCTTCTGCACACCTAATTCATCAACTGCTACATGGGAGGAGACAACCCTTTCAGCAACAAAACTTGTTGTGGGCTCTTGAACTGCAAAACTGTACCTAATAAGGGACATTGCCGAATGTATCTGCCTTCATCTCCCTGCCTTATCCTATTCACATGGGGCCAGCATGCAATGTCTAATTCATCTACACCAATGGTTTTTTTTTATAATAGGAAGTTAAATAAAGTATTATAGAAAAACAATAAAGAGGGATTACAAGATCTCTTGATTTTGTTACATTTATGTTTATGCAACAATTTTCTTTTAATTTTAACTCATTTCCAGGTGGTAGAATGGAGGAGGTGCATATAGACAAAATAACATCAAGAATTAAGAAGCTTTGCTATGGATTAAATATGGATTTTGTTGATCCTGTAAGTTTTTAGCATTTTTCATTGACAGTAGAAATAAATAACATTCTATACCAATATAGTACCAATTCTTAACTATTCAATTGTATCAACTTCAATAGGTTTCCATAACATTAAAAGTTATCAGTGGCATTTACTCTGGGGTAACAACTGTGGAATTGGACAATTTAGCTGCAGAAACTGCTGCCACCATGACAACAGATCATCCTGATTATGCAGTGTTAGCTGCAAGATTAGCCATATCTAATTTGCACAAAGAAACCAAGAAGCATTTCTCAGGTTTGTTCATAATATCATTAGTGGTTGCTCATTGGTTGTACTTCAACCATAATACCTTTAAGTACTTCATCTCCATTAATATGGAATAAAGTTAATACTTTAATTGTGTTAAATTTCAAGGAAAGGCACAAAGCAAGAAAAAAAAGGAATAAAAAGTTTTTGTTTCATGTATTGATTTCCAATAATACATTTGAACTATTTTAATCAAATGTAATTTTATCTATTTTAGATGTCATGACAGATCTGTACAATATTGTAAATCCACACACAAAGAAAAGATCCCCAATGATCTCAGATTTTCACTATAACATAATAATGAAGAATAAAGAACGATTGGATTCTGCAATTGTTTATGACAGAGATTTTAAATATAATTACTTTGGATTCAAAACACTGGAACGATCATATCTGCTTAAAATAAATAATAAGGTATATAATTTTTTTTTTCTTTTATCTAAAACTATTTCCTTCTGTTGTAAAACTGTTTGCATCAATGCTAATCATTGTTAATCATCATTATCAATAATAGATTGTTTTTAGTTAGATGTTTTTAAGAGATAAACATTATAAGATCCTTTGGTTGATGCAGCTTAAGATATTTATATAGAAAATGCGTTTTTTTTTACTTATGTTAATATCATTTATCTCTATTTTGCTTTAATATCAATCTATACACATTTTAAGACTAAATAATAAAAAGGTAACAATTCTATTTTTAATAAGAGTAATTCAAAAATTAAAACAATGCATAACATAAATCAAACCTTGTATTTTAGTAGTAATAACAGTATTTTTTACTTGGCATTTTTATCAACAAAGTACTTTAAATTATATTTCACTCTCTTATTTTTAGATTGCTGAAAGACCCCAGCATATGCTGATGAGAGTCTCAATTGGAATCCATGGTGAAGACATTGATGCAGCTATTGAAACTTACAATTTGTTGTCTGAAAAATATTTCACTCATGCCAGTCCCACATTGTTTTCCGCCGCAACTCCAAGACCACAATTATCTTCTTGCTTCCTCATAGCTATGAAAGATGACAGCATTGAGGGTATATATGACACACTAAAACAATGTGCCCTAATCTCCAAATCTGCTGGTGGTATAGGACTTCATGTACATTGCATCAGGGCAAAAGGTACATATATAGCAGGTACTAATGGTGTTTCCAATGGCCTTGTGCCAATGTTGAGAGTGTACAATAATACAGCCAGGTATGTTGACCAAGGAGGCAACAAACGACCAGGAGCATTCGCTATTTACCTTGAACCTTGGCACTCTGATGTTTTTGAGTTTTTAGATCTGAAAAAGAATACTGGCAAAGAAGAGGTCAGAGCAAGAGAATTATTTTATGCCTTATGGATCCCAGATTTATTTATGAAGCGGGTTGAAAAAGATGAAATGTGGAGTCTAATGTGTCCTCATGATTGCCCGGGTCTTGCTGATTGTTGGGGAGAAGAATTTGAAGCATTGTATGAAAAATATGAACAGGAAAAAAGATTTGTTAAGCAAGTCCGAGCTCAAGAATTATGGAAAGCAATAATAGAAGCACAAGTGGAAACAGGCACACCATACATGCTGTACAAAGATTCATGTAACAGAAAAAGTAATCAAAAAAATCTTGGCACAATTAAATGCAGTAATTTGTGCACAGAAATTGTTGAGTACACTTCAGCAGATGAAGTTGCAGTTTGTAATTTAGCTTCAATTGCATTAAACAGGTTTGTCAATGAAGATAAAACATACAACTTTACAAAGTTGAAAGAAGTTACAAAGACGATCACACAAAACCTTAATAAAATTATTGATGTTAATTTTTACCCAGTGCCTGAAGCAAAGAACTCTAACATGCGACACAGACCTATAGGTATTGGAGTGCAAGGTTTAGCTGATACATTTGTACTATTGCGCATTCCATATGAAAGTGAAGAAGCAATTAAACTTAACCAACAAATCTTCGAAACTATATATTACGGAGCATTAGAGGCCAGTTGTGAACTGGCGCAAAAAGAGGGAGTTTATAGTACATATGAAGGAAGTCCAACAAGCCAAGGCATCTTACAATATGACATGTGGGATAAAACTCCAACTGATCTATGGGACTGGTCTGTTTTAAAAGAAAAAATTGCCAAACATGGGCTTCGCAACTCACTTTTATTAGCTCCAATGCCTACAGCATCTACAGCACAAATCTTAGGAAATAATGAGTCCTTTGAACCATTCACATCAAACATTTACCAAAGACGTGTTTTGTCTGGAGAATTCCAGGTTGTTAACCATCATTTATTGCGAGACTTAACACAGGCGGATTTATGGGATGAAGACATGAAGAATCTTATAATTCACAATAATGGTTCCATTCAAAATATTGAGCGTATACCAAAGGACATAAGAGAGTTATATAAAACAGTTTGGGAAATTTCAGTTAAAACAACAATTAAAATGGCTGCTGATAGAGGTGCATTTATAGACCAAAGTCAATCTTTTAACATTCATGTGGCTGAACCGAATTATGGAAAATTGACTTCGATTCACTTTTACGCATGGAAAATGGGTCTGAAAACAGGAATGTACTATTTACGCATAAAGCCTGCCGCTAATGCGATTCAGTTCACAGTTGACAAGTCTAAAGTTAGAGCAAGTAATGGAAGAATGGAAAATGATGATAAACATATGTCCATGATAGCTTGCTCATTACGGAATAAAGAAGATTGCTTAAGTTGCGGATCGTAAAACAAGTGCCGCTTGATTATTTATATAAAATTTTATTTTTTTGGATGATTTTTACTTCATGCTATTCATCTAAATAGGTGGAAATCAGCTGATCTAAATAACATGTTTTGAAGTTATTATAGATTATTCAATTGCACAATAATCAGTTTTATATATAAGAAAAACATAAATGCTAATTCAAATAAAATCTTTTTTTATCAATTTCATGTTATTTTATTTCATTGCTTTTTCTTTTCACTGATTTTGTTGTGTTAAATGTCACATATTTCTTGTTGTACTTAGGAACACAACAAATTAAAAACTAACATTCGTAACACAATTTTAATTATTTTTTAAATAAAACATTTTACAGGTCAAAATTTAAGTAAATTAGTCAATTTTTTCTGTAACTTCGTAAAATAGGATAAATAATGTCTAAAGCTTCACTTATTTCATTTCTTGTCTTTCCACCTGTAACAATAATGTATACCTATAGACAATACTAATATTAAGCAGTAAAAAATTACTGAACTATAAATAAGGAGTATAAGAAGAGGTAATTTTACTTCTGTTTCTTGGATAATCAAGCAATGGATCTCAACATTTTTATATTATGTATCTGGAGTTTTAAGTATAATTGTTTTCTTACCTGTAAAAACTATTTTCCCATTGACAAATATGAGTAATACAACTTTTGGGCGCACCATTCGATACACTAGCCCAGGAAATAATTCAGGTTCATATGATGAAAATTGACCATGAGCCTGTTGCAATGATTCCAATCTTATAGGAAATCTGAGATCAGCTGTGGCGATGAAGTTTTGTATTTTAAAATCTAAAAATTTTGCCTGTAATATAGATTATATAATTTTTTTACTTTATAGACTCACAGAACATGTATATGCAAAGGGGATCTACTAACTGGAAATCCTAGTTTTTGTATAATTCTAGCAAATTTTCTAGCAGCAATATAGGAATCATGTTCATTTCTTGCACCCGTACACACTATTTTCCCAGACCTGAAAACGATAAAAAATACAACTTAGTCACTGTTTTATATAAACAAAAACAACCAATAATTAGTGCATAGCCACAAAGGAGATGAATTCGGCAGAGGAGATGTATAGAAAGGGTGTGTGTAATGTCCTATTGTGTATCTCCTCCTTTGATTAAAGGTAGGCAGGGCATCTGCAAATGTAGATGTTCATGGGCAGCAGTAGTCTCAGTATTTCATCATAGAAGAGAGTCATTAAGACTTTCCTAGCCCATTTACTAAAAAAAAAAAACTTAACTACTGCAATGTGAACTCACACATTACAGTGGTTAATTAATATTTAACTGATATTAATATTGAAAGTTACCTGAAAACTAGAGCTGTTGCCCGAGGATCAAGTATTTTCATTACAACACCATGAAACCGTGCCGGATTATATTCTGAGAACCTTGTACGACTATAAATGTCTAATAGTTTTAATTCACATCCCAAGCTTACAGATGAAACACAATTTCTGAAATTATAATGTTAAATTACTATATGGTGCATTTGCATAAACTAAATGAATCCTTTGAATCTCATCAATGGCAACAGAGAAATAAGAGGTTACAGAGAAATGAATTGCAGTGATGCAAGGTTTATAAAACATTTTTTTTTTGTAATAAACAAATTTTTAGAAGTGTTAGCAATTGTGGGGCAGGTGTATTCTTTTTTAATAGTAAAAGATATTCAAGAATAATGTTCTATTTCACAATCAATTCACCACACCATACAAATGTTATAAAGGATATTTTTGTATTTTAGTTTGTAATGAATGAAATATTATGTTATGAGAAAGCTACATTATTACTGAGTAATATAGGCTATAGATTTTTATAAATTTCATGTGGAGAATATCACAGGCAAAGCCTAAAACATAATAAAAAAAACAATGTTATTGTTTAACTTACTGTAACTTTATACTATTCTTTGCTTGACTGGTTTCTGTTGCAATTGGAGTAATAGCAACCATTGCATTATGAGGATTGCTAGTTTGTGGTGTAAAAATTCTATGTGTAGGTGTCAACGACACATCACCCATTATACAAGTCTGAGCTAAAACCTTTTGTGGGGTATTCATTATCCTTTCACATTCAGTTTTTTGTAAAGGTGCGTTACTGGTGTCTTTGTCATCATTTACATTCATGTCAGTATATTCTGTCTCATTATTTACAACTTGTGATTTTACATCATTTATATCATTGGCAAGTTTTTCACTGATTATTTCATTGTTGTCCTGATTTTCATTTGAACCATTAATTCCAACCTCCTAAAAAAGGTATAATTGTGTTGTGGTGAAATTTAAGCTATAAAGACACAAAATGTGCACCAGCTTCGGATATGTGTTATGATAACATGTAATTAAGTAACATAGCACCCATTTCAAAGTTTATGATAAATTATATTATTAAAAAAGTTAGATTTTGAATCATTGGGAGAGCAGCCTGTATTTCGAAGTACGATAGTTACCCGCATTTGTCCAGAATTTTCTTCTTGATCAGAACCAGGGTGAAACACTATATTTTCTTCGCTCATTTTGGTTTATCGAAAAATTTTCACACTCAGATTGAAAATATAAACAAGAAATTGTACATGCAAAGGTCGAACATACTTTAAATTAAGTAAAATAAAATTACGATAATATGGTACAATGTTATTTATTTTGGTTAATTTTATGTCATGAAATAAAGGTATACAGAATACCGAGTATACAACTTTAGGAAAATTATATTTATCGAACAGTGTTGTCAAAATGACACGACATTACATTGACACATGACGTTAGTACACAGCATTTTATTTACTCTCTGCACAGAACTATATTTGTCTATGCGTAACTCACAAAACCACATCACACCATATGCAAGTAACGGTAGTACTTACAGCAGTACAGCAGTTTTTTTTTATAAGTAAAATATAAACAAACATTTAATGCGCAATTTCTTATCAGGTTTTTCCCAAAGCTTCTTTCTGTTCCAATATAGTTTTTTGAAAATATTAATTAAAAACCTTTAAAACTGGCAAACTCTTCAATTGTCTGTCAGTCAGCACTGTAAATATAAATAACGTTGTTTTTTTCAAGTACCATTTTAATTTATTTGTACCTATATCCTCGGGATTTGCCTTACCATCGTAGCGGATAAGTAATAATGAATAAGAATGATTTCTGTGATAATAAATGTAGTCAACTTTTTAGCAAATATTATTAAATGGCTTTTTTTATCGGCATCGGTTGTAGGAGAAATAATAGTAAAGATTGTAACGACAATATTTTCATCGGTACTGAAAAGTGCAGAAAACATTCTTCTGTTTTTTCAAATAGTGTATGAAGATAATGTTTACATTTTCACCGAAGAAATACCCAGTTTGACTGGTGAATTCTTGGATTCTGTGGTTAAGCACTGTGCTCAAGTTCATAACTACTTTAGTACCGTATGCTATAGCATACTAAACGATTTTAAAGTATTTATTAGCACCATAAGATGGTCGATTGAGGAAGTTTTGTTAATGGTCACAGAATTTATAATGTTATGGAAAAAAACATTAATATTTTTGGGAGAAACTTCATGGCTGGTGTTGACATTTTTACCTGTTCATCTGCCCCTCTTATTATTGGAAGTTTGGAAGAAGTTTAGAGATGGTTTATGCTGCTGTGCTCTAGAAGCTTATACAATTGTACTCAAGTTTACAAATTTTTTGACTGATGTACCATTAGAATCTCTTGTAGGCTTATTAATGGCTATTATTATTGTGCGGTTATCCATACATTTTAGGAATACATTAAGAACACAAACTACTGCATTATATTGGGTATTAGTAAGAAAAGTCTTGTATTTATATTATACAATTCATAATTATTTTTATGACTATGAAACAAGAGTTATATCTCGGATGGTTGGTGGTCAACAACTAATAAGTCGAGAAGAAGCCAATGCTGCAATATCTGAAGAAAATGGTGCAGATTCATTATGTATAATATGTCAGGAGCAACCAAAGTGTGTTTTAACTTTGCCATGCCGACATGTTTGCTTATGCACTGATTGCTGTATGAGGCTTTATGGATACCAACGCACTTGCCCTATTTGTAGAACTTTTATTTATCAATCGGTCACTGTGTATTTGTGATATGGTTATACATTCCTCCTATAGAAAGATGATACCAAAATTATGAATAAAGCAAAACATGAAAAATTATGCCAAGTATTTAATTGATTTACCGTAACATTTTTCTTATTATATGTTGAATAATTTACACCATTACTTAAATCAACATATTAAATAATGTACTTTAATTGCTACTTTCATGACTTCTTGTTCTTTGAAATGTAATAACAAAGTTATTAGATTGATCAACATTTGTAGGAGTTCTTCTTCTTGCATTTAAATTTAAATCCTTAAATGTTAAATGAGCATCTTTGAATGCATTCAAAGTGAACACTGCAACCATTAATATGAGAAAACCACAAACACAACCTAATATATCCTTAACATCAATTCTTTGCCATTCTTTGAATAGTATACCAGAAGAAATTATAACTAATACAGTAAATATTACATAATAAATTGGTGTTACAATACTAGTGTTAAATATATCTAATGATTTATTTAAATAATTCATCTGTACCATTATGCAAGACACTGATAAAAATACCAGCAACCAGAATATATAATTATTAAAATTATTGGAGCCACCTTCAATAGTTTCTTTAACACCAAGTGCAACTGCTTTACAAAATACAACAGTCAAACTCCCGACACCAGAACATATCAATAAATAAACAACAACATTGCTATTACCAAACCTTGGAACAAACACTACTTTGACTATCACAGTCATAACAAAAATAGTCAGGACATAAGATATGAAAAGAAAATCAAATAACATATCATTCAAATCTGAAAAATCTTGAACTTCTTCTGTTTTTGGTGAATGTATGACAAAAATTATTGAGCCAATTATGCAAAGGAAACACCCAATCTGTAAAAAGTGCATATAATTAGAAAAATAAAATTTGTTACTAAACTAGATATTTGCAAGTGAAGTATAGAAAATTGAACCTTTCCTATGAAGTTAAGTTTTTCATGTAAAAACTTTGATGAAAGTACTGCAGCCACAAGAACACTGAGAGCTCCCAATGGAGTTACCAATGCTGCAGGTGCAAATGCATAAGCTAATAAATTTGCTGCTTCACCAATACCCACTGAAAGAGAAAAATATATATTAATATTTGTTTAATTTTTAAAATTTTACATTTACAAAATTATTTCAATAAATTTACTTGTAGTTAACCCCAACCACCACATCCATTGCTTTAAATATCCAAAGCCTCCAGCTGATGCCCTTACATTTCCAAGGGCATTTATTTTCTTTAACGCTAATTTCTTAATAATAAAACTTGATCCAATAAATATACTCGATGATATCGCTAGCCCCAGTCCCAGCAAGAAATGTAAATGGTTATATCGCGTATCATTTTCCACATCATCAGCACTCATTATGTGACATTAATGTTTTTTACGAACACCAAGGATTTTATTGATGAAATTTTAAAACAAAAGTTCATTAAACTAACATGATTTTATTCTTTTCATCACAATTTTGAATTATAAATTAAATCAGCGTTTATTTGTGCTATTTTAATTAAATCGATTTGTCACAATGTCTATAATAACCGGCAAACATTTCTAGGCTCTTTGTTCGGCAATACTTTAATGATTAACCAAATAAAATAAATCGATTATCATATTATAGACTCTTATCACTAATGTCAAAATGATGTACCTAATTATTGATAAGACCAGCCCAGTGTTGCTACTATATAACTACGAAATAAAAATATTATCTGCAAGTTCCATTATGCCAGTACAGTAGGATAGTAGCGCTTGTTAACATGGACAGTTTTGTCTCATTGGCGCCAGATGTTAAAGTTAAAATTATACCTGTTGTTTGCTAGAACTCATTTTAGCGCTACTGTCTTACTGTATTGGGATAATGTAAACAGTTTTAGACTTGTTATGCGAAGGGTGATTATCATAAACAGAAAAGTAAAAAGATTGAATGTGGATGGTTAAAAATGTAGAGGAAGACCAAAAAAGTATGGATGGATTGTATGAAAGAGGATATGCGTAATCATGGGGTGAATTCAGATATTACGGCTGATAGAGATGTATGCAGGAGTAGTACACACTGCGCCAACCCTCTGTAGTGATAAGGGCAGGTTCAAGTAGTAAAAAATAAGTAGTATAGTATAAGTCCTATATATCTAATATAATTGGACAATGTTGCTTAAGTAGTTTAGGTCATTGTACGTCAGGAGGCTTTCAGTTCATAAAGATTGTCAACTTATACAGTGTAAATTATGTAGTAATTAATTAAAAACTCGAGAAGTCTGAGTGATAACCTCTGGGAAAAAATATTAAATGAATTTGAATAATCTCAGCTCACAACTTAAAATCGGTCGTCTCGAAATTTTTTTAAAACTTCAATTGGAATGTAAAAAAAGTTAAGTTAAGTTGGAAAAATACCACTTATATTTTTGTAACCACTTCAAACATTTAATAACAGACGGAATTGAAATCAAATATAATTTTATTTACATTAAATAATCTATTATTCATAATCATCACCATATTTTCTAACTTTAATATAATCTGAATAAATTTTGGGATACTGTACATGATTTATTGAATGTCATTGTAGTAAACACATTTATTAGTGAATAAATGAGTTTACTACAATATAACAGATAGTGATCTGTTCATAGTTTTAAAACAGAATAAACAACAAGAAATTTGTAATGAATTTACTTTTAAATGCCATAGTGGTATTAGTCTACTATAGTAGCCCGTTTTAACCCTTAAGACAAATTATCAGATAATGTTATTCTAGATTATTGAAATACAAACAAAATATTTTTTATTGTCCACATATAGGTTTATCTAGAATAACTTTTGATCACAAATAAAATAGTGAGAAGATGACATTAAATGTTACAGAATGCATTAAGGCAAATATAAGGAGAGACCATGCTTCAGGTTGCAATGATTCTTTAAAAAATGATTGTAACCAATGAAGTTGACATAAATAATATGTAATGTAACTTTTTATCTTAGCATAATTTTTAATTTTGATAACATACAATAAATCAATATAACATTTTTCCCTTTGAAAAGATGCTTCACCTATCTTTATTAAATCATTGTTTTATATTTAACAGATAATTGTATTAGAAAAATTTTACATGTCAAAATACCACTAAGCCATAAATATAACAAAGAATATAAAGAAAAATATTAATACCCCAAATACTTTAAACATTAAAGCTCTATTGTTGGTAATGTTTTGGAAATATTTTAATATTTCTCTGTGGCCAGCTTCAACATTCATTTCTGCTTCTTGAATGTTTGCATCAATCCTACCTATTGCTTCATCTTGTTCTTTAACCATGTGTGCCAGTTGCTGGAATATACCTCCTAATTCCACTATAGTGCTCTCTATATTATGCATTGTCTCTGCTCTTTGTTGAACATATGAATCTGTATCATCTCTCAATGCCAACTGCTGGGTTTGGAAATTAGAACCTTCGCCTAAATCTATGCTCACTTCATCTGGCTGCAATATAGATGGTATTTCTTTGACAACAGGTGCTACTCTAGAAAATTGCTCCCTTCTATTATTTTGATGCTTTAAATTTTCAGATCGCACTTCTAAAACCTGTAATTTTAATATAAGAATTTAGAAACAGAGAAATAGATAAGCACAGCTTATAAGACATGAAAAAAATAAATAAATGAAAGTAACTTTAAAAAAGAAGTTTACTAAGCCCAGTATACAATTAAGTGTAGTGATTGATACCGGCACTGGTTTACAACTAGTAAAATTTATTCCCACTCTGGTACATATTTCGTTTTACATTATGTAAACAGTTATAGTTTACAATTAGCACTGTTAGTAATATGTTTTATGTTATAACATCTAAGTAAGCTTATAGATTGTAAGAACCTGTTTAAATTGATTGCTCATTGATGCCAGTCTTGATTGCAAAGCTAAAACCACACTGGAGGAATGACTATGCATACTGCGACGGCCTTTAGGCATTTCACCCAATCTGGCAATTTGTTGGTTCAATGAGTTTAAATCACCCTTTATAATGTATGTCAACTCATGTATTTCCACTGGTCTATCATCAAATAATGATTTCTTCTTAGCCACTGAAAATAAAATCAGATAAATTTAATTACAAGTTAAAAATATAAATGACAGGAAAACAAACAACTAATAAATAAACATAGAAAATAAAGATTAAGAACTCACACATTGCTAGTTTTTCTAATTTAGCATATGTACTCGTAATATTTTTACTGATAACTTTTGCCATACTCATAAACTGTGAATAAGTTTCAAGAACTTCAGCTTTTCGCTTATCTCTAACAACTGGCTTTGCTTGAGTTCGGCTTTGAAGGCTGCGGACTGTCGACACAAATTCGTTGGTTCTGTCTCGTGCTGCCATGACTGGTTCGAATATAATATCTTCTAGAAAGTCAAATACAGTATCGACTTCTTCAGTTCTAAGTATTGGTACAATACTGTTTCGTGTATTTTCTAATGGATAAGGCAAATACGACTTTCCTTTTTTATCGAGTTTGTTGTACGAATTTAAATCTTCTTCTAACAAGGGTGTCCGTTCAGGCACACCTACGTTACGACGACGAGGGTGCATTGCATTCTAGACTCAACACCAACTAAATCAACCAAGGTATTTTTTCTTATCGAAGATACAACGCAAAGACAATTGACTTATTAGGTCAATAAAATTACACAATGAATATTAAATTATATATTTCTTGTAACAATATTTAAAACTCATCTACTTTATCACTGTTATAAATCTATAACATTAATTCACAAAAAAATCTTTGCTCTATACGACAGATTAGATCGACGTGTCAAATGTCATCCAAAATTATCAGAAAGACCTGTCATCTGTCATGCCATAGATATTTGCATGGTTTCATAGGTCTATGGGCAGAAAGGAAGGAATATGAAACCTCTGTTTTATTACAACGGTATAAAGGGTATACATATGAATTTGACCGATGAATACCTCTCTATCTTAGTCATCATCTTCTCATGACGGCGTGATGCAAAGTATAATATACCAATAAATCGTCTCCAAACGAAAATCCAATGGGATCTCTACTTATTATTTTATCTGCACTTTATTTCTCTTCATGATTGCCTCGCCAAACACGGGTAGACTACTAAGTAATTTTGTACTTTATGCAAATCATCAGAGCAATCGACACTGTGTATTGAAAATGTAATAAACTATAGTACTGAATTCTCCATTCTCTTTAAACTTATGTGAACCTGTACAAACCAAGAACGAAAAATACATTTCATTGCATAGGTTTATGAAATACATGAAACAACCCAGATACTAAGCATAATATACAAAACACAAAAACAAAAAAAACGTTACTTTTAATACAGAAATTATATTTTATTTATAAACAAATATAAAATTGAGATATGAAAATTGACATTCTTAGATCTATTTAAAGATATTTTTAATACCATATTTACAAAAAATATGTTTAAAGTCTTAAACATATAGGCAGCTTCTAATATTTGGGTGTTTTAAGTCACTAAAACCTGATAAGATAGTAAGTGAACATGTGTTAGGGCAAGCTACAATCATTTATAAACTTTTTTCACAAAGTTAACAATGGTAATAGTACTGTGTTTTAATTTTAAACATCATAGTATCTGAATTGTTTTTCATTGTGTCACTTTGAAAATCATCTTACATTTCTGTGTTTAAGAAGGAAACTGTTAATGCAAAACCTCTTCTTTTTGAAGTCTGTAAATTATGTGTCATAATTATTTATAGTATCAAGAAACTATGTTGCATGGCTTTACCACTGGTAAAAGTAATTTATTATTGAAAAATATCAATAGATATCTGTGATATAATGACAATTCACAAAAATGTTTAGTACAGTCTCCAGTATAATACTAATAAACTTTATATACATCTGAACTTTAACCGGTATAAGCTTAGACCTCAAATATGTTTTATAAAACTTGTCTATGTTATTTAATCTTTGTGTAAGTTAGTTGAACATTATAACAATATAAAGTCAAGAGATTACAAAAATTCATCACACCAATCTTTTAAACACTCATAACAATCAGAGGACTGTTTTGAGTTGGCACTACAAGTTTCTTTCATCCATTCTTGAAATAGTTCTTTGTCTTTCTTTAGAACTAAGAACTGACCCAGCACAACATAAGCCTGAAACAATCATTCAATTATAAGTATAAAATATATAATAATTAAATAGAGGAAAAAATAGTATTCAATTATGTTTATGATATTGAATATATAACTTTGTTTCTTACTTAAGTAAAACATTCCACAACTTTTGCCACTATTTTTTGTATTATTACATGTCATTTCCCTGTTTAATAACTACAACACTTTATATCGCAACAATTTAGTTTTTTATCGTAATAAGGCATGGGTAATTAACTAACCTTATCAAAACCAGCAGTTTCAAGTCTCTTTCCCAATACTTCACCAACACCGGCCAAGTCTGTTACAGGCTTCTCTCCCATAGGTTCAGCCACAAAGTTTCTATGCTTTTGCGAAGTACTCGACATTTTGTATTAGAATGTATAAAGACGGAAACAATACAAAATTTATTTTTAACTGTTACCGGCAATATAAATATGCGGGAAACTTAGTTGTACAAATAAATACACAGATAAAATATAGACAATACTTATACAGAATGACAAAGACCGAAAAAGGAAAAGGTCTCTGACTAAATTTTGATAGCTCACTAGCGCCCCTCTGTCAATGTCAAAATGTGTCATAAGATCCTTTTCGTACTGTAATAGTCATTATATTTCCATTTTTTTTAGTAGGTTTTACATATTTCCTGACAGGAATAACCGTGATAGCAGCGACTCTTTCAGCGGGCCAGATATTGATCTTGGATGGGATTAGATGGACTTTCCCAATATCTGCTTGTTTATCTCTAGAGTTTTGCGAGCCAGTCACGAATTCTCTCTCTTTTTGCTTATCAAAGCATAGTTTTACCGTATTCAAATTTTGCGCTTGGTAACACTGTTAGGCGATGATGAATTTGTTTTCTGTTCTGCTACACTATGGTTGTGTTATGTTTGTGAACTGGGTGCTGTGTGCTTCCTGTACTTATACTTTTGAATTAAACTTTTAATAAATCGAAAAATACACCTCTCTGCTTCTGACCATATTAGTGTTATTAATTCAAAGGCTGCCTAGGAGAAATATGTTCAAATAATATGCGTAAAAATAGTTGTTGAGTCCGGTACCTCGTTGTTGCGATAACTTGCGCTTCATATACGAAGTGTTGCAGCGAATGACAAAATGGTAAGTGCTGTTTTTGCATTAATTATAATTTTCTATTCTAATTCTCCAATTAAGTACTAAACTTGCACGTGTGACATTATGACAAATAATATTTTTCACTATTTCCGTTCTTATTTGTTTGATTTCATCCAATGTTATCTAGGTTACAATAAATTACGTTTCAGGAGACGCCAGCTGCAGGAACCAGTTCTCCCGGTCTTATAACTGCTGCACCTTTATTGCCACCTCCAATGCTGAGTGGTATACCTCCACCCATACCTCCAGCAGTAGCAATGCCACCAGTTCCTGGTTTGTCTACTACCATGCCAGGTCTACAACCACCAATTGGATTTCCATCCATTATACCACCTTTTACCATGCCTCCACCTGGATTTCCGCCATATAAAGCAGTAAGTTAATATTTGTATTGAAAAGAAGATGATGTGTGATTAATTTCATTATAATATAACAATATTTTTTAAAGTATGACTAATGCTAAATATGTACTCCTGGAGTGTTATACAATAGGAATTGTAATATATATACCAAACAAATAGAACACTTAACTTAGATGCAAAAAGGGAGCAACAACAATCTACATGCAATATTTTGTGAAGGTTTTGTTTTAAATTTTTCATGTTAGTGTTAATAATTTGCGATGTAAGGCTGCAGGTACATTAAATAATGTAAATATAAGTCATTTCCTTTCCTTTAATGTTAACATTTATTCAGGATCTTGGAGCACCTGCACCAGATGTTACACCATTGGCAAATCAAAGTAGCCCATGGTCTGAACACAAGGCACCAGATGGTAGAACATATTACTACAATTCAGTTACAAAACAAAGCTTATGGGAGAAGCCTGATGACTTAAAGACACCAGCAGAGGTTATTTACCATTTTTATCTTTATAATTTTTAAATAGTATTAGCCCTGGTATTAATTACCTTAATAAATTTGAGTGCTCCTTAAAGTACAATTTTATTGTAGTAAAAGTAATCCACCTTAACCTAAGTGCCTTTATTTTAATACATAAAACATATTTGTTATAGAAATTATTATCTTCGTGTGTATGGAAAGAGTACACAACTGATGCAGGAAGAGTTTATTATCATAATATAGACACAAAAGAATCCAGTTGGATTATTCCTACAGAACTGCAAGAGATAAAAGACAAAATAGCAGCAGAAGAAGCCGCACAGTAATGTATTTTTTTAATATTAAATTTTTCTTGATCTTGACATTACTAACACAATTCTCAAGAAAAACACTTCTTAGTGAAGATGAGAAATAAGACTTAAGTGGTTCATTTTTAATGTCATTTATGCCACTCAAAATGATGAATAAATTAGTGATTTCTTTGTCACAATGTGATAATCATTGTCAAAGTTTATGAATTAATTATTATTATACAAACAATAACTTTTAATTATTGATAATTTTAATAAACTTAATTTTATACAGATATTATAATTTTGTTGTTATAGATCTTCCAGAAAACCTACTTAGTAAATAATATAAGAACACCCTACAAATTTTTTTTAATGTAAATTCTGTGGTATTACAGAGCAGCTCTAAATGCAGATATACCTCCGGGGGAAGTGCCTCTGCCGATGTCCCCGGCAACTATGCAGTCCAATTCCGGCAGCTCTGCTCTAGATGAGGCTATGGCAAAAACGCTTGCTGCCATTGATCCCAACTTGGCTAATAGCATACCCATACCTGAGGAGAGTTAGTATATATTCATCTCCCTGGCCTTATCCCACCCACTTGGGGCGCACACAAGACTTTATAAACCTTAAAGTTTTGCTCTGTAGTACACTGGTGGCTGGTTGCTTTATTTGATGCAATATTCTATTGTAAATTGTAAAATATAAATAAAATAGATTTTAGGTGACAGTAAAATCCTTTTAAAACTTTTTTTTACTTAAATTAAATAAATTTTTGGATTCCTTCAACAGTTTCTAATTGTTCATTGGATTGATTATGTATTGTAATTCTTTACTTAGTTAAACCTGAAGAAATAGTGGCTCCACCACAAGTAAATGGCACTGATAATACAGACCCAAATCAAGACTTCCCATACAAAGACAGAAAAGAAGCCATAGATGCATTCAAAGAAATGTTACGGGAAAGGGTAAGCTATTAACATGTTAAAAACTAAAATTTGTGCTCATGAATAATATCATATCATAATTATATCTGTTTATTAAATATATCTGATAAATATTTCAAACAGCAATATAGAAAATTAAATATTTATATGTCTAGAATGTACCATCAAATGCAACATGGGAGCAATGTGTAAAGATAATTTCCAAGGATCCTCGTTATGCCACTTTCAAGAAGCTAAATGAGAAAAAACAGGCTTTTAATGCATATAAGACGCAAAAACTTAAAGATGAGCGAGAAGAGCAGAGGTAAATAAATAAAATTTTAAAAATAATTACAAGTTTTAATATCTTGACCTTGTAAATGGCTGGGTGCCTATGGAGTACAATAATTCAATAAACATGTTTTAAATATTTTCCATCTCATTTATTTAACTTAATAGTGCTCACATGACATACAACATTATTAGAATGTAATTAATCTAAAAATAGTGTTTCATGTTTAACAATATTTCTGTTTGCAGGTTGAAAACAAAAAAGAATAGGGAAAATCTGGAAGAGTTCTTACTTTCTTGTGACCGTGTTACATCATTGACAAAGTATTATAAGTGCGAAGAAATGTTTGGCAACCTAGAGGTCAGTAAATAATTGCTATAATAAAATGAATTGTGGATTATTCTTGTATATTGAGCGTCATTTAATCATTACACTGTTATTGTGAAAAATTCCTCTAATAATTTAGTGTTATTTTAATTTTAGTAGTCATGATTAATATTTTGTTCTTTGTAAATATGTTTTAATTTCATGTATTTTAGTTGTTTGATGTGAATTTTGTGAGGTTTATTGTATAATTTTAGATTTGGCGATGTGTTCCGGACGCTGACCGCAGGGATATTTACGCGGACTGTATCTACACGATTGCCAAACGAGAAAAAGAAGAGGCTAAAGCACTTAAGAAGAGAAATATGAAAATGTTAGCACAAGTAAGTCGTGTTTTCCTTTTATTTACAACTTTTACTTTTTAGCCAGATATATTTTTGTAATTTAATTCTGGATCCAATTTGTATTGAGATGGGCATCAATTAGACATTTTTTAGGTTATGTTTTTAAAAATGGTTACTGAATTTTATAAATCTTTTTCAGGTTTTAGAAAACATGAATGAAATAACTTATTGCAGTACATGGAGTGAAGCTCAAGTTTTGCTTTTAGAAAATTCTGCTTTTAAAAATGATGTCAGTTTACTGGGCATGGATAAAGAGGATGCTCTTATAGGTAAAAATAAATAGTTAATTTTATATAATAATAATATAATCAAAGTATTAAATAATTTAACTATGACTATTTTTAATATTTTCAGTGTTTGAACAGCACATTAGAAATTTAGAGGCTGAGTATTTACAAGAAAAAGAACAGATTAAAAAACGAACTAAACGACAACAACGGAAGAATAGGGATAACTTTTTGGTATGTTTATTCTTCCGATTTTCACAGTTTGTTGTTAGTATAGTCATAACTTAAGTCAGTTATTTTGTTACCAGGCGCTGCTGGACAATCTTCATGAAGAAGGCAAGCTGACATCAATGTCATTGTGGGTGGAGCTCTATCCAGTTATATCTGCTGATATTCGTTTCTCTGCAATGCTGGGTAATTAATTTTCGCAATACTCAACAAGTCTTGTTAATGTTATTCTCATTGGGTATCAGATAACTAGCACTACAGTCTGTTTCCATAATTTGGCGGCTGAGCTGCGCAGTAAACATCCCCCCGCATCCCGCTGCACCTGAAATTGTGTTCTGCGCAACGACTCGTGCGATGTTCCGAGCCGATTATATGTTTGAAAAATGAACAATAGTAGTATGGTGCGATATTAATTTTTTTACAGGTCAAAGTGGATCAACACCCTTAGATCTATTTAAGTTTTACGTAGAAAACTTAAAGGCCCGTTTTCACGATGAGAAGAAAGTTATAAAAGAGATATTAAAAGAGAAGGCTTTCGAAGTGAAACCCGACACCACGTTCGAGGAGTTCGCGACTATCGTGTGTGAGGACACAAAGTCCACCTCACTGGACGCAGGCAATGTCAAACTGACTTACAACTCGCTGCTCGAAAAGGTAAACAAAAATAAACAATCAGTCTTTAATGTCCAATTCATCATTGAGGACTAAATCAACAATGACAACTCGATTTTTCTAGGACATTCAATGCAGAAGACTCGCTTGGCATGTTCAATTTACAAAAACAAAATTGTTTTTGTAAATTTGACCTTGAACGTTTTAATTCTAACCACAACTTACCATATAATATGTTATCATGTTAACTAACATTTACATTATTGAGATGTACATTTTAGGAAATTTTACAGGCCGAAGCGCGTAATAAGGAGAAAATAAAGGAAGAATCAAAAGCGCAGAAGAAAATCGAGAGCGCGTTTAAATGGGCGCTGAGCGACGCCAACGTGGACCACCTGCTACCCTGGAGCGATGTCAAAGAGAAGCTGGACCTCACCGCGCCAGAGTTCGCAGCCGTGCCTGACGAAGAGGACCGCATTAGAATATACAAAGTAAAATATCTCACTATTTATATGAACGTAATACATGCCTTTATTAAGAAAGAAAGTCGTGATTCTATCTTGCGTTCGAAAGTGAGACCAGATTGTGGATGTCTTTGATCCAAATAACTCGGAAATGTGGGGCCCAAAGTCCCACAGCATTAATTTTAACTCATGGCAGCTGCGACAAAAGATGTCCGCGGCAGATTATTCTATATTATCTATATCTATTTCTTAGAATTATTTTGCTGGTTTAAAATGACGACCGTTCTTCTACCTCTATTTTATTTAATATTGTAAGCTTGAAGAGGACCAGTCGATATATCAATGTGATGTTGCAGGACTTCCAGCATGAGCAGGAGGACAGCTGCATGCACTACCACCACCCCAAGTCGCGCAAGGCCAAGCGCTCCAAGAAGAAGAAACGTTCGCGCTCCGGCTCATTGGTGACTATAATTTACATCTGCTTAGTTATATTCATATTATATATTAAAAAGACTAGGCCTAGGCGTTAAAAATGTTGTATAATTATTACTTATATTTGTCAGTCGGGTTCGGCATCGGGACGGTCGCCATCGCCAGCAGGTAGCGCGGGCACATGGACCTCGGACGAGCGCAAGCACAAGAAGCCTAAGAAGAAGCACCGCAAGCACTCGCCGCAACCGGTAAAATACTTGCGACTTAATTATAACATGTATTGAAACCCGTCAGTATAAATTCTAGCTAATCTTTATGTATCAATTAATTTATTTTCACGTATAAAAAGCTAGCAAAAAACCACTTTAATTAAAAAATTATAATAAAATATGAGCATTCATAGCAGAAATCTCCGACTCCGGAGGAGGGAGGCATATCAGATGAGGAGGTATCGCGACACAAGAGCAAGAAGGCAAAGCGCAGCGCGCCCAGCAGCGGCGACGAGCACGAGCCCACGCACAAGTCCAAGAAGAAGAAGGACAAGAAGGAAAAGAAAGAGAAGTACATTAACATCTTCTTACATTCACGCTACGCCAACTTTTAGCAACGCTTACCGCTGTTAAGCTATGATATTTAAAGTCATCGAAATTGTAACTTAGTATTGTGATTCGGAGGTGGGGATATGTCCCAAGTAACATGAGTGACAAAAATGCAGGTAGCAAAATTAAAAATATGTTACATTGTGATGACAGAGTGGGCGGGTCCGGCGTGTGGAGCGACGCGGAGTTGGAGTCGCGTCGCGCGGCGCTACTGGCACAGCTACACGAGCATGAGACCGACTGACGTTGCGTTACGCACATACACATCTTTAACGACTACCCGCCGCGGCCGCCGCCAGCCGCGCCTGCACACACCGCTCCCGCCTCCGATGCATCCGCGCCCGCGCCAGTACCTGCTCCTGTCGCCGTCGCCCTCGCCACACCCTCTCACACCGCTCTCGCCGACCAGCGACAATGTGAATCTGAGCCGGAACCGGACCCAAAAACATAGACGATATTAAAGTGATGTGCTATTGGTATAGACAATTTATAAAATAGAGTATGTTGCGTATATTATTGTTAACGACAAAAGTGCTTATATTTTCGAGTGCTTACTCAATTAATTTCAAGAGAATATTGTAAATATGACGAATGTCAGTATACAATGATTTAGGTTCAAAGTAGCATTTTACAAATTTTGTATTAAATATGAATTTTATGATACTTTTGAAAAGTATATTACTAAAATAATGTTATGTGTATAATAATGTGCATGTTCATAATTTTAAAGTTTATTTTGGCTTAGATTGTAGCCTAAATGGGAGGTAAATTTGTGTTTGCCTTTTGTAAATATGTATAACTAAGTAATTTAGGGCGATAGTAATGTATAGTTTACGAAAGTCATCATAACTGCGCGTGGCATTGAGAGTAAATATGGCCTAACAAAAGTAATGATCAATATTGTTTCAGATTTAAAAATTACAATTGAAGAAGATTCATTGTGTATACTGTATTCAAATATAGACCCTTAATCATAGATAATTTACAATTTATGTTAAATCTCGTTAATTCGAAACTGTTAAAACATTTTTTTCTCAATATTACCTCAAATATCAAAATGGTCACCACGTATGGAATGTAAAGTTGATCTGTTTACTTGATTTCGACTTTGGATCGAAACGATGGATAGTTCCTTATATTTTATTTCTTTTAGATTGCATTTGAATTACAATCTTAGGGAACTCGTCCCGAAAAGACAGTACGAATTCTTTAAGATTATTGAATTAATTAGGTTAAGGATTTTTTTCTGAGACGTAATAAATAATTAATAGGCTTATTAATATTTCATTTATCTCAACTATCCGGTAACCGAGGGTTGTATAATGTATAAAAGGGCACCATAACATATACACATACAGTACAAGGTAGATTTTGGGGTTTTAGGTCATTTTTTGTTGATCACAGGGGGTGCCAGTGAGTTGTGATAAATAGATTGACTTATATCCACTGTTTCAGATAGCCTTGTCGGTCTGAATTTCATAAGTCTAGGAGTATAGGTGTCTAATAGTTGCACTAACTCAGTATGAGCAGTTTTGAATTTAAAAATGTGGTCGTAAAGTACATTAAAAGAAATATAACGATTATGTATACTTTGTATGACAATTATTTAAATTTATTTGCACCTTTCAATATAATGTTCAGGTACATCGCACCCGTTACATAGCATTATTTTGTGTGCATTATGGCAACAAATTACGAAACTTCAATTTGGTCGTGACAATGTAATGACACTGACAAATAGTATATTTGACGAATTGTTTGTGTGATTTATATTTTATGTTTGGATTGGATCGAACAATTGCCGCGATTGTGAACGAACTTTGTGTTTATTTTAAATATGTTGTGGTATTAAGTTACGCTTTAAAGCTAATATTAAGGAAAATACATAACTTTCTAACATGTCATTCTGGTCTTCGACAAACAGTGATACTGCTGAGAATTCACTAGAATTCCCTAAAAAACCATACACTAAAATTGATTTAATGGGTAAACTACATATTATTCATGCTTTAGACAATGGCCAACCGAAAACTGATATAGCCAGGGATTATGGAGTTCATCCACAAACAATAACATACATATATAAGCAAAAAGACGCATTAATAAGAAAATATTCCCAAAAGTTTAACCTTTTAAACGAAGTTCGATGCATTAATTTAAACCAAACATTATTAGATTGGATAACAAGTGAAGTTAAAGAAGGTAAAACAATTAAAGAAGAACATTTAAGAGAGAAAGCTGAAGAAATAATAAATGCTATTAGTGAAGATTTTAGTTGTATAGACGATTGGTTGTTAGACTTTAGAAGAAGAAATAATGTTATAAAATTTAGTTCATGCATTGAATGTAGTGATGAAGCAAAGATTCAATGGGATAAATTTGTAACAGATCAAGACATGAATAACATTTATGTTGGTGGCAGTGTTGGATTACACCATTCTTTTGATTTTGATAAATATGTGAATCAGGAAAGTGCAGATAAGCATGTGTCCATGTTATTTATTGTTTGTTGTTCTGGGATTGATAAGAAAGAGTTATTAGTTGTTGGAGATGAAACAGTTGCAGATCACAGTATAAGAAGCCTACCTTTACAATATTATCAAAGTAATAAGAATTGCCTTAACCATCAGATAATTGAGAATTTCCTTGCTAAATGGGACAATGATCTGCAGGATCAAAATCGTCAAGTAACCTTAGTACTGGATATTCCAGAAAATTTGCCAATAAATGTTAATTTAATGAATATTAAAATTAAGAAACTTATTAACATGGAATTTATTACAAAAAATGTTGCAATGGTTGCTAAATCATTTAAGTTTCATTATCGAAGGATTCAAATGACAAAAAAAATATTGTTTAATAAAGATAGTACTGTTCTTTCAATAATAGATTACTTCAACATTATGAGTGCTGCATGGAGCAGTGTGGCATCTGAGTACATACTAAGATTATTTTTTCCACTTGAAAATGGTTGTCTTTATATAAATACGGGTGATGCTATGGATTCCAATCACAGTTTTTTCCAATGGTGCAAATTGCATAATATACCTGGAGACCTTGAAAAGTATTCAGAATTATTGGACAGTTACATTGAATGTGACAATGATCTACACATTATTGATACAAATTCCACAAATGACTTGGCATTTAATGTAAATGAGGCTCTGTTGGAAAATGATGTAACACCTTCATCTGGTGTACAGGGTTATCAAGCTATCAAAAGATTAATTAACTACCTACAAAGTCAAAGTGCTGAGAAATCCATTGTTAAATGTGCAAAAACATTGGAAGATCACTTAGAAATTGGAGCTCTGCAAGAAATGCAAAATGTTTTGGCGGCTAATAATACTATGGAATGATCTAAGAAATGATTTAATAATTTAAGGCATAATATTTATAAAAAGTGTTTGGGCTCTATATCTATACATACACTAGTAAATAACACAACAATAAAAAATATATTAATTATGATTGATTATTTTTACAGTTTTATATAATACAAAATTTTTAAAAAGAAAACATTATCTAAAAAATATTCGGGCACTAGTAAGACTGTAATACAATAATTGAAATTCTTCTTCAAGTGTTTTAATTTTCTTTTCAGACAGTGCAAGAGCCTGCTGTAGCTGAAGAGTCCCTTGATTTTTTTGTTTATCAATAATTTCTCTTTCTTCCTTTATATGGCTCCATACAGAGTTGAACCAATGAAGAGATTCAAAATTTGCATCCTAAAACCAAAAATAATTGTTATATCTAAAATACTGAATTGCAATGAATTTATTATTATTTGACATGTTTATTATATAAACGACTTATAGAAATTCTAAAATACTGGTCTAAGTCTAATATAATATTAAACAAACTATGAACCTAAGATTATTTACCTGGTCTAGTAACTTCAGAATGTATGCTACACCAACAGAGAAACCATCATCAGTAAAAGCTGCTCCTGCTTTATTTTTCTTTGACATTTTGTCCTTTGATAATATCATGTGTTCAACAAAGTTGAGGGTTAATGGTGGCACTATTATAAAGAAATTTTTTAAATGAACATTTTTAGGATTCCTAAACACTGGCGCGAAAACGTCGACCAGTAACTTAAAATATTCAGTGCCTTCTACAAAATTAGACACCAGATCATTAATATTATTATCTAAATTCTCGGCAGCTTCAGTTGCTTTATCTCCAAGGGAGTTTTCTACGCATAGCTGTTTAAATGATTTGTTGTCGAGACTTGGTAGAAATGCAGTCGCATCAGAGCAGCAATGTCGGCCACCCGATCGAACCATTCGCACATATCCCATGGCATTACCTATTTGAGTTATAAGGTCTCTGAATAAATCCAAATAGCTCTGGCCATCTTCAGCTAAACCTAACATTTTTATGCCTTTATTGAATTTTTCTGCATGCTTATAGAGATACATATTGCCACTGGAGTGGGCGTTTTCTTTAAAGTATCTTAAATCTTTGATCAGTCTTGATTTAATCTGCTCATCGAACATAAATTGAGAAAAGATAAAGAATTTGTTTTTCAAAAACTGATATGTAAAATTGACAGTGGTATTCATTATTCCTGTACCATGAGTTCTGATTGAATTTGCAATATGCCTTATGTTTATGGAATTCAAATGCTTGTTATTACTACTTTTTTCTACAAAAATTTGATTATTCAAGTTATAATGATATTTTGAAACAAAGATGTGTATTTTCCTCATAATTTCCAATATATCTAAACCTTGCTCTAAAGTTTGTTTAGGAAGATTATCCTGTACTGTTGATAAATTAAATTTAAGTTTAGCCATTTGTCGCATTTCTCCGTAAGTTTTCCAGTCGGATAGGACCACTGTTGTTAAATTATAGAAGGTTTTTGATAGATAATGTTCCACATTAGGTACCACGTTCATGTAAATGTTAGAGATTCTTAAATTATTTGCTATCAGAAATATTTTCTTTATCATGTCATCCGTAAAAGGGTTTACTATATCCAATTGTAAATGTGAATGCGTATGTAAACGTAAGTTTGTCTCTATATTTTGACTCATATTGTTCAATATTTTTTCCTCAATTATATCGGTAGTGCAATTTAAAATATCTCTTATTTTAGTATAATCATAATACTTGTCAGTTCTATATAGGAGACCTGCACAGTCTTCAAATACCATAAAGAAGTTTTTTAATTTAAGTGCATTTAATTGGCAACTGAATGGTTGATCAAAATAAACAGGAATTATATTCAGATGCCACAACATCCATGAACAATTGCAATATTTGTCCATATTATTAAGAAATTGAGTTAAAATTTGAATTTTTTCCAATAATGTTCCCAATTTTATGTAAGTGTCGTCAACGTATGTTGTGTCCGGAACAAAACTTAACGCAATGTTCGTAGCAGTATTGCGTTCGATTGTGGCCGCCCCTTTCACAGCTTGTTCTGCAATTACAATACAAGTGAGCTCATCCAACTTTTTGCTAGCGTATTTTTTATCGCACATTAACATTTTCTTTACTTCTTGGATAGTAGACGCCGTTTGAAACAATAAATGTTGAATTATCATCGTTGTTGAATTTATGATCTGATTACTATTACGTGTAACCGCATTTTTAACACTTTTCAATATGTCAATGATTTCAAATAGAGACATTAAAGTCTGTTTTGATAAAGGTATTCCGAGGGACAAATGTAAATTTAGAAAGGTCAAGAGAGAATGATAAATTGTGGATGCAATTTCAAGTCCTTCTAGTATTATTTTAGCATGAAGATTCATTTCTGCCGCATTTAATTTAATATAATTTGAAAACAGTTCTTCCACATTTAATGTCCACTGAGAAGAAATAGTTTGTAAAGTGGCGACATCTTTAGACAATGATAATTTCTTAGCATTCATATAGGCTTGTCGTGCTTTCAGCATAGTTTGAGATAATTTGCCATGATTTGAAGAAAGTGAGGGTGAATATCTTTGTAAAAACTGCTCTGGGAACCACAGTGTTGTTCCAATGATGTGAATACTGTGTGCCTGAAAATAAATTACATCTAAATTAACTATTCAAATGTTCTCATATTAGGAAAGTTTAAATAAATTACATTTAATATCTAAGAATACAAGATATTTTAAGAACTAGGTAATAATATCATTAATTACATACCTTTGTGTTTAGATCAACAAGAGCTTTAAATATTTTTTTATCACTACTACCAAATAAATGTGAGCTTAGCACAAAAAGGGAATTGATCTTTATGCACTTGTACATATTTTCTGTTGTAGGTTTTTCTTGTAACAATTTTTCTAAGTTAAACAGTGCTTGTTTTATGTACTGTGAAAATTCTGAAGTTACAGTAGTGCAATTTTTTCCAATCAAGTTGTTTTTCCTAAGATTTAATAAATTGTGAAGTGTATTTTGAACAATATCATCACTCATTATTTTTGCTGTAATATTATCAATGGCTCCTAAAATTGCTTTAAACTTCTCATCATATGTATCTAAATTTTCTGGTGCAAATGTCTTCAAGCTCTTACAATAATTATTCCATTTAGTAGGCAGTGATGTCCGAGATATTAATAATTCTAATAAGATTATAATTGTGAATAGCTCTCCTATATTATTAATAATATAATGAAGCTGTATTCCATCTGGAAATAACAATGATTCATTAGCTGTAGTAAGTTATACAACACTGGAAAGTGGGACAGTTATGCAGTATCAAAGTTTTTGTTTGAAAAGCCGAGACCATTGGCAGTTTCCATACCTAACAATGTAAACTTATAGCAATCTTGACAACAATAACAGTAAAAATCATAAATCATTTATGTTGGAAATAAGAACAGGGTTAAATAAAAATATAATTACTTACTAAGATTTATAAGACCTTCAGATACAATGGCAAATACTTGGCTGCATAAGTTCTGCAGTGTGTCATTGCAATGAGAAGTAAATGCATTCAATAAACATATTGACTCCATTTGGGAAGCAATCTCACTTTTTTGGTATTCTTCATAAACAGCCAAGAATGGAAAATGCCTGTAATATAGTTTCAATTTGTCTTTAAGGTTAACTGCTCTTAAAACACTGAATCATTATTATATTGGTGTAATTTTAGGTAGATATCTTTTCATTATCAGTTTTTAATATAATTATTGATAGACATGGCTTAAAATATTTTTTTTAATTCTTTTTTGAAAAGATGAAAATATATATTTTAACATATTACCTTTCAAATGCTTCCTTTTTCAAAGTAGAAACTTCTACACACAATGCACTTAAGACTCCTAAAACTTTTGTCATTATAGTATTATCAGAAACCACTAATTCTGGAATAGGGATATGTTCACTGGGCATCATATCAATTTTTATGGGTAAGAAAGTTTTGTTTTCTACCAAACTTGTGGGGCCGCATATCTGGATGTGGTCTTGATATTGTTTCTTAAAGAATTGTCCGTAATTCTTCAATATAAAAGCACCAGCTTCTTTTTCCGTGTCACTTCTCATTATGTTAGCGTAAATAATAGAGTTACGAATTAAATAACTGAATTAATACCAATTATATTAGTTCAATTGGCACAAGTATGTACATGATACATTGACAACTTTTATCGACTACTTAAACATTTATATAAATAATTATAATTTAAAAAAGCAACCATATTATTGACTACACCAAATGACATAACATTACTCTTTTATTTTAAGTAATACGAATTTGTCGAAATAATTATAATACCGAGAAAACTTTTGTGCAAGATTGTGACAATTCTAATGAAAATTTGTCATTTTTCGACAGCAAGTTGTTGACAACCAAAGATGTCATAGAGTAACAAAGAATTTTACAATCGGTTATTTAATTCGAAAACTGCTTAATGAGAGCACAATATGGGTGAAGATGGCTTGGAACGATTTCAATGTACTTTCTTTCTCGAGAAAATGAAATATTATTATTTAAATATGTTGTAAAATATTATGTTGAACTATCATTTTCATATTTTTTTCGATGCCATTTTCTCTCACGTTGCGCACAGAATTAATTATAACAACAAAATGTCAATTCAATTGTCATATCAACAAAAGTCAAACTTTGTCGAACTCAAACTGTTTTATAGTAGCAGTAAATATAATTTGGGTTTCGCTGAACATAATTTAATACAACTTGACTGTTCACTAAAGGACTGTTATACAACAGAATAACTATCAATATTGAACTATCAAAGAAAGACACAAAAATAATCCAATATGGATCAAATGCTGCCGAGTCCCTACAACATTCCTGGTATAGATACTCCGTTGCATCAACCCGAAGAGGACCAACAAATTTTGCCAAATGCTATGCAACAGCAGCAACAAATACAGCAGCAACAACAGCAGCAGCAGCAGCATTCTATGGCTGCTTTAGGTTCCTCACCACTTGTGGGATTTGGCGCGTCTTTATTAGGGACCCCTCAAAGGTCTATGCACACTTATGCTCCAACTGCCAGTTATGCCACTCCTCAACAAATGATGCAACCTCAAACCCCAGTAAGTATTTTAATTGTAGATGTGGGTAATGAAAAATGTATTAATTTTATGTTTTTTATTTTTCATATATGCATTTACCTAAGTTACCTTCCTATTTCTAATCCATTTCTGACATACATTTTAAGATCAATGTTATTATATTTATATTAATAGTAGAACTACTCAAATTTAATCTTAAGCCAAACAAATTTGTAAAAATATGTTCTTAACACCAGCAAAACATGATGTCACCATTGATTACAAGTGGTAGTTTGGCGGGACAACAAATCCTTGGGCAAGCAAGTCCAGCACCAATGACACCCATGACCCCACATTCAGCTGACCCTGGAATATTACCACAGTTGCAGTAAGTACTTTGACTTTTGTGTATAGAGTAAACAATATAAATACATAAGATAAATAATTATGAAACATTCATCAATTAATCTTACAGGTTGCCAATAAATATTATGTCAGGTTTTTTGAAAAAAAAATTACATTTTATTAGTTAATATTTTAAATAATCACACCAAACTAAAACTTTGAAAAAAAGCCTTATCTGTACTCATAAAATTAAAAAAGTATAAAATGTGATCTCTCTATTATATTTTTTCAGGAACATTGTTTCAACAGTTAACCTTAATTGCAAGTTAGATTTAAAGAAAATTGCTCTCCATGCTCGTAATGCAGAATATAACCCAAAGCGATTTGCTGCTGTTATTATGAGAATAAGAGAGCCCAGGACAACAGCTCTAATATTTTCATCAGGAAAAATGGTGTGCACCGGAGCTAAAAGTGAAGAAGATTCGCGATTAGCAGCTAGAAAATATGCTAGAATTATTCAAAAACTAGGGTTTACTGTAAGTATCCCAAATTATCATTAGAATCCTATTTCTTACAATCTAAAAGTTTTTACTATAAGTTGTTGTACTCAGATTTCAAGATACCAGCACATGTAATTTTTGCTGATGAGCATCCAATCACTTCCAATCAATATCTCTCACTTCAACTCCATTAGTACCATTCGAAATGGTGCATTACACTCAGGTCCATGTCTTATTGTAGTATATAATTGTTAATTTTTATTGATGGGTATTTACTATTACTTTATCTTCTTTATATGTGTTATTTAATTTATCTGAAATGAAGAAAACATCATTAGACCACTAGTTATTAGAATCAAAATGAGAACTGACAAGTCAGCTTTCCATAACTTAATCATGTTGACTGATAATTGCTTAAACATATTTTTCTTTCTAGGCAAAATTTTTAGATTTCAAGATACAAAATATGGTTGGCAGTTGCGATGTAAAGTTTCCGATTCGTCTAGAAGGCTTAGTGTTGACACACGGACAATTCAGCTCCTACGAACCAGAGCTTTTTCCTGGACTTATTTATCGAATGGTGAAGCCAAGAATAGTGTTATTGATTTTTGTATCGGGAAAAGTGGTATTAACTGGTGCCAAAGTGAGACAAGAGATATATGAAGCATTTGATAATATTTATCCTATTTTAAAGAGTTTTAAAAAACAATAGAGTTTTAAGTTAAATAGTCTTTACACTTTTTTAAGTTTGTTACTAAAAAAAAAATAAAGCAATAAAACAAAGTACGCTTTTGTTTTTTTGCAAAAGACTGTTGGTAATATTTATTTGCTAAGCTTAGTAATGTAACTAAAAGTTAATTATTAATTCAGATTTTTCTTACTTATCTGTAAATTTTAAAATATATAAAATAAAATATTAAGAGTGAGAAAAACTATAGACATTAAAGTTTTATATAATCTTCTATAGACAAGTTTAAGACAATTTTAAGTTAGAAAGGACAGACAAATAGTCTTGCAAATTATTTTATATGCATACTAATATCAAAAGGTTATCCTTTTTTGAAATTCAACGTATAAAAATCTTTAGAATTTTTATATTAATTTTCAAAATTAGGTTAGTTAAAAATGACTACACTACATATTTAAATTATTTATAAATTTTGTTGATTGTTCCTTTCTGTATAATAAAAGAACGAACAAGCACGATATTTTATATGCTCTTTGACGATATCAGTAACTGTCAGTGACAGTGACAGATGTTGTCTTGATTTGATGTCACAAATTCTTTGAGATCCACGCGTTATTGAATTTTATAAAGTATTTGAGATTCATCGGTTTTTAGATAGTTTATTCGATATTATCAACTAAAACATTCTGAAAAAATGGCTGAAACTATGAAACAAACCGTAGCAAGTATTCTCAAAAGCATTGAAAGGTAAAAATTCTTCACCAACTGTTAGTGTAGCAAATAGTTCAGATAGCTGTAATTTTCAGTTTTGTGACTATAATTGTACTAAATATAACGTTATACCGAATATAACATTTTTGAAAATGTAATCCTAATAAATAACATTACATTGTAAATCCAGTAACTTGTCAAGAATATCTACTACTAGTATAGTCGTCTAGTTAATATGAAACTTCCATTTCAGATATAATCCAGCAAATTTGCAGACGCTGGAAAGATATGTTGATATGCAGTCTAGAGAGAACACATATGACTTAGAAGCCAACTTGGCAGTATTAAAGCTGTACCAATTTAACCCAGACAAATTCAACCCTGACATAACTTGCCAGATCCTGCTGAAAGCATTAACAAACTTTCCACATACAGATTTCACACTGTGCAAGTGCCTCTTGCTGGAATCTGTTGTAAGTATGCAACAGTTGTAACTATGCAATAAGTGTCCTCATTAAAGATTGTATTAAGTTGTGACCAATTCCTGCATTCGCAGCAAAAATGTGTCTGTTTGCAGTTCCTAAAAGTACTTTCTTTCTGTTTTGGCAATTTTTATGAAAGAAGTATTTAGTAGTTGCATTTGTTGCCTTATTGCCAATTTCTGAATATTGTAGCTGTGTCCTTTCGTAAATGTTGTATTTTGTTAGTTGCTGCTTATTTAGCACAACAAAGCGTAACAAATATTATAGTAAAAAGTTAGTAAAATTCAAATATAAATTTATACAAATTCCTATCTTACATATGCAGATTCTTTGTGGCAAATATGGCAAAAGTTACCTTGGTTTTCATTGACTTTCCGATTCATACTAATTTTATCTTCTTAAAATTGTAGTTTGTGCATTATAGTATCTAGAGTGTATTCTGTGTAATTTTTTTTTACATATTTTATGTCGAAGCACTAAGTTATGTAATCATGTAATCTAAAGGAAAACTCGTCTTTAGCAATTATTAAAAAATCTCAAAATAAGTAGAAGATATGTTATGTTTGTGTATTTAAACTTTATTTATATCTATGAATATATTACAAATTATGTATTATCTTCCAGGCAGAAAATGAAACAATATCTCAAATAAAATATCTGGCAGATATTTTAGAGCAGTGTGACTTTGCTCAGTTCTGGAACAGGGTGCATCAGATGCCTGAACTTTGCAACCGCATTAGCAACTTCCATGACTCCATCAGGAAGTTTGTGTGCCATGTAGTTGGCATTACTTTCCAGACCATAGACAAGAATAACTTAGCCAACTTGTTGGGCGGAATTGATGGTGTGTATTCATCTATTTTTTTGTTTTTACTTCTTAAGTTTAGATTATTTAAATCCACCTGTTCTTTGAATAATTTATGTTTCATGTGACATAATATGTCTGGATATATTAAATATTATTCTGTATAAAAATTATTTAACAGCTTTACAATTTTTTAATTTCCTTTATTAACATGTTTATAGACGTAACTTTAAAACATTGGGTCAAGAAATATGGCTGGAGGGATGAAGGAAACCTTATCTTCATTGCCAATCAAGATGAGAACATCAAGACCAAGAACATCACAGAGAAGATTGAATTTGATCATCTTGCTCCTTTGATGACATTATTGTAGTATTGTTTTAAGGAAATTTTGTAAAAACAAAATTTTATAACATGTATGTGGCAAAACATTTTGTAAAATTATAAATAAATATATTTTACAATGAAAACATTTTTTATTTAATTAATATTATTCTCTACAGTATGTAAACATCAGCTTATAGTTTATTGGTTATTTAGTAATTTTCTGTCATCTATACTAATATTATACTGAGGAAAGATTTTGTATGAATAAACGCAAAAGCTATGTTTAGAAAAAATCTTTTGCCTTTATAAACTTACAGTATCAATGAGAAACAAAAACTACATTTATTACTAGATTAATTTTAATTTCGCGCGGATAATGTCACTGGGGAAGCTAGTTGGTTATATATTAGGGTTAGAGATTAGTGTAGGGTCAAATTACTAATGAATTAATTAAGAAACCGGATAAAAAATGCCGACTTCTAAAACAAAAGTTACATAAAGATACTACATTGCTATTCACATATACATTTTTGGGGTAACACAAAATCAGTGATTGAAATAAGTTAATAGATTTTTCAATATCGTGTGCTATGCCATGTCGAGAGTTTTCACTACTAACCGCATGGTCCGATCACTGTCATTCTATCCATCATCAAAGTTTACATCATTGAAGTTTCTTAGTCATCACTTTTGATAATTGATATGTCGCTATTCGTTACCTACTTTTGTACTTTCATGTAAACTTACTATCAATTCATGTAGCTCAGTTTATTATACGAAATATATAAATAGATAAAAAATGTTTATAGCGCATATGGCAACTGCAATAGAGGTATAATGATTCCTTTCCGTTCCAGTCCCATATAGTGAATGAGTATCGTTCCAAAGTCAAATGGTTTATTATTCATTTTCCGAGTTTTAATAAAAAACAATTACTAACATGTTTCTAACAAAAAGATTTTTACTTAATAAAAACAATGATTTGCTTCAAAACGTAACAAGTTAAAAATAACATGATATTATTAAGCCTTCTTTCCATGGCTGTATCCATGCTCCTTTCCGCCCTCGTGTCCGCCCTTTTTGCCGTGCTCGTGGTGGTGTGCGTGGTGTTCCTCATGACCATGATGTCCCTTGTGTCCCTTATGGTCTTCGTCGTAGTGTCCTTTGTCATGTTGACCCTTCTTGCCGTGATGTTTCTCGTGATGTCCCTTTTCGTGATGTCCGCCTTTCTTGTGATGGCCGTCTTTCTTATCGTGATGGCCGTGGAAGTCACCGTGCTTGTGATGATGTCCACCTTTATGGAAATCGTCGTAGAACTTATGTTCCTTATGGTATTCATCTTTGTGAGACTTGTGATGGTAGCCTGTGGTTTTCGAACCCTTCTTATGACCCTTCTTGTGGCCAAATTTGCCACCTTTGTGGCCATGTGCAGCTTCGTGATGTTCGCCATGGTGATCGTGCTCGTCATGATGCTTCTTCTTGTGTCCTCCATGCTCATCATGATGACCTTCGTGGTGGTGATGCTCCTTATGACCGTGTTCACCTTTGTCGTGATGATGATGCGACTTATAGCCCTTGTCTCCCTTTTCCTCATTTTCCTTATGGTGATGCGCATGATGCTCGTGGCCTCCGCCCGATTCTTGATTAGTACTTTTGGCTTCTTTCTTTTCCGTGCCTGCAGTTATCTGGTCGACCTTCGCTATACCGGCGACGAGACCAGTATTTTCCGCGGCTCTGGCAGCGGGTCCATTCGCTTTGCTTTCATTGTCGGTAAGACCGAAGTTTCGGCCATGCGATGATGCTAGCGCACACACCAGCAGCACCGTCCATAACAAGAACTTCATTTCTAAAACAAACATTTAAAATGTATTAAATAATCCCATTCCGGAAAAACAAACTTTTAAAATATTTTTCTTTATGCAAAAGTCAAAATCAAACAAGCGGTATCCCTCAGTACTTACCAAGAGTCGCGATTCGTAGTAAAGTTACGTTAGCTGTGATAAAAATGTTTCCGCACTTTGAATTTATAGATAACGCTTTCATCTCAGCGTAATTTCAGATCGATCTTTGGTAATCATATTGCTGCAGGTTTCTGGACGAGTGGTTTCACGTCAGACTACGATTTCGCCATCCGTTTACTGTGCCGGTCAAATTTGTTCCGTTCAAATATTCGTCGAATGATTGATTGTTTAGTTTATTTGCTGCAAGTTATCAGACATCGAGTGAAATAAACAAATACTTCAGGCTTTAAAAAGAATTTTAATATTATTAACAGCTTTTATTATAAAAGTAACATTTGTTTATCTAGGACGAAGTAATTTGAGCATAACAATAACAAAACGATAACTTTATAGTTAATTAAATCAGTGCTTTCCATGGTGGAATCCCCAATGCTTGTGGTCCTCATGACCGCCTTTCTTTCCATGATCATGATGGTGATGATGGTGTTCCTCGTGGCCGTGGTGCCCTTTGTGTCCCTTGTGGTCTTCATCATAGTGGTGTTTGTCGTGGTGTCCTTTTTTACCGTAATGATGTTCATCATGTCCGGAATGGTGATGACCGCCTTTCTTGTGGTGTCCTCCATGTTTCTCGTGGTGTCCGTGATGGTCGCCGTGCTTGTGATGCTTGCCTTCCTTGTGGTGGTCGTCATAGAAGTGGTGGTCTTTATGGTACTCGTCCTTATGGTACTTCTTATGGTAGCCTTCGGTTTCCTCGCCTTTATCATGATGTTTCTTATGGTGGTGTTTACCACCCTTGTGGTGATGTCCATGTTCGTGGTGCTTTCCGTGGTGATCGTGTTCATCCCAGTGTTTCTTGTGTTCTCCCTTGTGATCGTGGTGATGACCGGCATGATGGTGCTTGTGATGTTCTCCATGTTCCCCTTTGTGGTGATGATGGTGTCCTTTATGTCCTTTGTGGCCCTTCTCACCGTGTTCGTGGTGGTGTTCTGCGTGGTGTTCTTTGCCGCCGCCCTCTTCGTGCTGATGACCTTTGTGATCACTGGCTGCCGCTACTAAGTCGCTTTCTTTCTGACCGATTTCTCGGCCTGAACAAACGATAAGAAGACATCCTAGAAGACAAAGGGCGACCAGCGTCCTCATTTTAACTGGATTTTATTAAACCTCAACGTTGAATGTTTGAGTAATGGGCCTGCACTGATTGTCTATCGGTTTGTGACACCAATTTATATCTATCATTAAAGGTGCTGGTTGCGGCCGGTGAAATTACCGAGCAAGGACGTCACGCGAACGTAGCACCTATAAGCTTCCACAGTTGCGCCACGCGGCACTGGGTTGCAGGGCTTGTATTTTGTTTTAAAAACCGCGATTACGTATTTCCGTATTCTTTGACGCGGTCAACTCGAATTGGTTTATTCTCATTTTTATACATGTTTAGACTATATAGTAAACAGAAACACAATTTAAAAATTAAGTACAATGTAAAATGTGTAAATAAGGGTTAAATTTTAGACTAGATGGCTAGAGTTTCTTAACCATTGCTTATTGAGGACTTGTACCTAAATGGTACTCGCTATAAAATGCTATTACATATAGTACTACATATAATAGTGAGTCGTAAGGCGTGAGATACGCAAGTATAACGTTTAACATTAAGGAAATGGTTTAAAATAAAACATATTTTAAAAACCAATTTATGCTATGCTCGGGTTAGTTAAGTCTTACATAGAATGAGATCTTACCGTGAAAATCAATTGTCGTTGTGCATATGTACGAGTTAGAATACTATTGTTTTTTTTTCAAGAGTATGCAGAGAAAACAATATTGTTGTTATACAGGGTCAGTGAAAACACCCCGTTAATTATAAAGTAATAGTGACCCAGAATCTAGAAGTTGTGAGTAGACTTTATGACCATGACCTCATTCCAACGAAGTATTTCTTGGCGTCTTTGTTTGGCGTAAAATAAAAGGTTTTCAAAATATAATAATTGTCAGCTTTTCTTCCAATCAGACCTCAAATTTTTTATAACATATTAAGTAGAGTTTATATCATAATGGAATTTAACATAATTTTAGGTGTAGCGTGACGTAGCGGAATGCTGAGGGAGGGCAATATGCACCGCGCAAATCATATTGGGCCGCCAAGATATTTAAAAAGAGCAATAACATATTCTGTATACCCATATCCTACGGTATGAATAACGATTGAGTACAAAATAATATATTCGGAATAAGGTAATACAAATCAATCAAAATTAGTGAAAAAAAATTAACGACCAGATTTGGATTATTTAACCGAATTACCCAATAGCATTATATTTATGTAGTGACTTGTTAGTGGTACAATTAGAACAGTCATAAGTATCTATAAATATGAAGTAAAACCTCATGTACACATATTATTTATAGTTAACATTTTACAATAAAATATGGGGAAGACATTTCATTTCCTGAGCTCCGTTCGCAATACTTTCGTTAAGAATGAAATATTACAAAATATTGAGAACGGTTGTAATATTTGTTACGTTATTTCTTTATTGTCGAAGCTCTAGAAGCATCTATTGCACTGCGATGAACAATACGTAAACAGTTTTTTTATGAATTGGAATAAAATTTAGTTTATTATTTAGGAAGAAGTACAGTCAGCGTCATATAGATCGTCACAGACAAGATATGCAAATATATAGGTACATCAAAAGTAATCAATTATATCGGTACAACAAAAGTCATCAAAATAATAGATACATTCACCCTGCTCAAATACATCGGTACATACACAGCGTCAAATATATGAGTACATGCAAGATGCTCATAAATATCGTAGCAGCCACAGCGTCATAAGTAACGAAGCAGTCAAGGTGCGCAAAAATATCGGTACATTTGACAAAATTGAACTCTATCTTTATATACTTGTGATACAATTTGGAATAAACTACTTCTGTTACATTCATTTGACACTTTGTATTAACATTATAGGTTGTCCGGAAAGTTCGTTCTGATGTTCGATAGGAAGCTTACAATAGACTGTAGCTGAAGTGGATTCCTTTTCGGATTTCCACCATTATCAAACGTCACAAAAATTTCTATATTGTGAATAATTTCATTTCATTGGTTGAGATAAAAACTAATTTTTAAAATTTTATCCAATAATAAAAGACGTTTTAGGTATAGAGTCGTACCAATATAATTTAAAAACATTTCCAAAAATTTAAGAGAACAGGGTTTCAATTTTCGTTATAAAGCGGCACGAACTTACTGGGCAACCCAATATTTTTCTTCTCCTGTCATAACGCTTAAATATAAAAGTTTGTCACGCCGAATATGACAGATACGTATTAACTAATATCAAATTTTGCCTTGTCACAATATATATAATACTAGTTTCTAGTATGTTTGCCGTAATATGTAAGTTTACCGGTTCGAATCTCAGGCTACTTTTTTTTTCATTTTATCACGGGGTTATTTTTTCATAACCAGTAAAAATTTGGTAATGTAAAATTTTGCTCGACAATTTTTTTTTATAATTTTCGCTATCGGGTAGAAAGAAATTTAAATGAAGTTAACAACAATTAGGTCAGACCATCGCGGGTGAAGTGAGTGGGCGGAGCGTGGATTGTCTTTGCGGGTTTTAAGAATGGTACGCGCGGAAACTATACGTACAAGTGTTATCTACATATGTGTGCGCGCCCACGCACACTGGAATGTTTATTGCAATCGACCAAAAATTTGATGTAGTTTGGATATTGACATTCAGTTTTTTTTTCTTTGTTTCTTAAATGTAATCAGTATCAGTAAAAGGTAAAAGTAAAAGTGTTTTTTTTACA